AGGATGTCCCCCTTTAAAGACACACTTGAAACATCACACGAGACATCTCTTGCAACCTCACCCCCCATCCCTGCCATCCTGTCCCCCTTTAAAAAGGCAAGCAAAAGGCGTTTCCACTTGAATAACATCACCCCCTAAGAAAACAGGTCCTTGGAACCAAAACGGAGCGACCGCCTAGGAGCTCAGGAAGTGAGAAAAAAAGAAAAAGAAAAAAACACGAGCGCCTCCCCCTGCCCCCCCAACAAAAAAAACGAAACACGACGACGCCCGCCATTTTCGCCTGCTCCTTCTTGGCGTCTTTCAGGGACGCCTCGAAGGCCGCCTCCTCCGCGGCGTCCTGGGCCTTGGTCTCCGCCTCGGCTCGATGCCCGCGGGCGATGCGCGGCTCCAAAACGGAGCCGCGCCTACCGGGTCTTCACTCAGATGCCCGGTGGCCCACGGGGACAAAAGGTCACCCGTCTTTTTGGTTGGTTGAGCTTACAGGGGAACCCTTCCCACAAACAAAAGGAAAAAAGGGCACCACTGGGCAACAGAGTTCACCACACGAGCCGTTTTCCGATATCCAGCCAACAAAGCATGGTCCAGAAAACGGGTTGGATGGTCTTTGCGCGCTGTTTATGTGGAGTTCGCTGATTTTTCTTCCCCTGCTAGTCCTTTGTCCAATGTTTCCTAACCTTGTCAGTAAACAAATCCGACCTCAGAACATAGGGCCTGCCCCTTCCACCACATCCGATCCCCCGCCTCCATCTGGGCGAAGTCCGCGGAGCAGTCCTCCAGCACCTGGGCTCCGCTCGTGCCGTGTCGGGGCGTCGCTCGGCGGGTCGCAACAGGCTCGAGCTGTGGGCTGCTTCAAATGCCAGTAGATGACTCGATGCCCCAACGAAAATACCAAGAAACGTGATGGTATTTCCACCATGGTTTCAGACGCAACACCAAGAAACGTGCTGGTTTTTCACCCATGGTTTCTCGCAGTGGCGGTTCCAATGGATTTCATCCATCCCACGCCCAAAATTGAGACATCGCGTTCGCGCCCTCAGCCGAAAGTCCCGGCTCCCGGCCTTGATGATGGCCTCCCCGGGCCCTTTGCCCTGCAAGCCGCTGGCCGGCGCGTGCTCCAGGCCACCCAAAGCGGATCATGAACGCAAAGCCCCGAGCTGAGGGCGGAAAAGAGGCAAACAGAACCTGCAAAAAGAGGGACCGGGGCTCCCATAGGCGTGTGTTGGTGGGAAACCCTCCTTTTGGGAAAGCGGAGAGTGCCAGTCGAGGCGTCCAAGACATTCTGCCGGCTCGAATGAAGTGGCCAGCCCCCTTGCGGAGTATCTTTCAGGGACCTCCACAAAATGACCTGCCTCGCCCAATCGTCAAGCCCCCAGGCACGGCATGGAACGCCCGGAAAAGAGTCCATTGCTCCCCCGCCTGGCCCGTGCCGGAAAAGCTGGGCTTGGACCAGGTCTCAGGTGCCTGAAACAATCGGGTGCAGACTGGCAGGGAAGGAATCCCCCCACAATTACTTGAGGGGTGCTTTGCTTGGTGGACATCATCTACATTAGAACTTATATCCAAAAACACGAATTTTGTGAGGCACCCTTCCAAGATCAGGTTGGCTTCTTGTTAGCTTATGTCTGAAACTGCTTGCATAGTCATCAGTTGATTCCTCGCTGAGCTGGTTTCAACTCTGAAGGCCCTAAAGAAGCTATCAGCTTTAGGGTCACTACACGCAAACAACACATGACAATCAACCAATCCACGATCAAAGAAATCCAAGACCCGCTTCTACGCCGGGCTGCTCTTCTTTTTTCTGGAACACCACACCAGACTCGGAAACCGCCCACCGCGAGCATATTCTCCGGGGATGCTCGAGGAGGCCCCGTGGGTGGGACCATCCATGTTCAACAGGTTTCCACCAAACATAAAGGGAAACCAACAAAAACTACGTCTTTTGGGGGGGTCCCCTATTCTCACATTCTCAGATGCTCAGCTACATGGTGGATGTCTGAAATTCCTTGTTCCCGCAATCGCCATCTTCGCCGGAAAATGAACCTTGCGTGGCCTCCATCGCGAAGCTTTCGCGGAGAGCAACACTAAGACCAAGAAGTCCTTTCCCTTCATGAACAAGGACTCGAAAAATTTGGGACAGCTTGCACTGCGGGGGAGCAGGCCTCAAGTCGACACGACTTGAGCCCGGCCTCCGCCACCTCTGTGGGCGCCTTCTGCAACAGGGCCGCGTTCGCCGCCTCCTGACACACGACCAGCGGCCAGTTCTGACGAGGGACCCCGGAACTGAGCGACCTCTGGGGTTCCAGCTTGATGCCCGATTCTCGGTGAAACAGACTCTAAAACCACCAAACTCCAGGCATCCTTCCGGCCACACCTTGGACCCCCTACAAACACCTATGCACTCGTGCAAGCCTTACAGCGTCGGAAGACAACCTCCCGCTTAGAAACCTCGTTGGCCATCATCTTTGGAGGGCTTGAGGAATTTGGCTTGCCACCACCACCACCACCACCACCACCACCACCACCACCACCACCACCCCTTTCCGGGCGGACTGGCAGGAAGCCAGTCCTCGTAGAACTTGGCCAAGGTCCCAATGGCGCTGCTGATGGCTTCCTGCGATTTCGTGGGAGGTTTTCTTACGCAGCCCCGGCACAGGCGGCTTTCCTTTTTTTGGAAGGTGCAAAGTGAGGATGCTACGATTCCCTTGTGTTCCCCAAACCGGTGTATTCTAAGTTCTCTTTGTTAGCTCTCTTACGTTGCTTTAATGACTGCGCTCTTGGCACGCACTCTTCATTCGCTTTCTTTGCTAGCTATCTATCACGGCTCGCTTTGGAAGCTCTCTTGGAATGGTTTTGCTAGTTTGTTGTTTGGCACGCGCTCTTCATTCAATGTCGTACGCACTTTTCGCTAGCTCTCTTATGCTTCTCTAGCTAGCTTGCTCCTGGCACGCACTTTATATTTTGTTGCTAACTATCTGTCACGGCTCTCGTTGGAAGCTCTCTTGGAGTCACTTTTCATTCGCTTTCTTTGCTAACTATCCGCCATGGCTCTCTTTGGAAGCTCTCTTGGATGCTTATGTTAGTTTGCTCTTGGCATGCACTCTTCATTCGCGTTCCTTGCTAGCTATCCTCCCTCGTGGTTCTCGTTGCAAGCTCGCTTTACTAGCTCTCTCGAATTGCTTTGGTGAGTTTGCTTTTGGCGCAAACTCCTCCATCGCAAACAAAGCTTCCGCAGCGGGACCAAGCGGGTGAAAAGTCATATGTGCGCACACACACGCGGAAATGGTCAACCTCACACTACGCGGCGCGACAACACGCCTGACACGCAAACAGCAACACGTGCAACCAACCACTGCGGCTGCTGTTGGTGGCAAAACCGAAGGACACATGGCATTAGACCGAGGCAAAAGTCACACCGCCCGAGTTGCGAAAAAAGATCTTTGAGCCAAGGGCCCAGTCTTAAGCATAACTTTTTGGGCCCCCAAATCGTGGGAAGCTCCACGAATCACATCTTATCATTCGGAAAGACGCATTCTCCATATGTTTCGACGGTGTCCGCAATCGATTCTCGAAGGACGGACTATGAGAGCAGAAAAGTTTGTTTGCGAAACCAGGGGCAAACATGTACAAAATGAGGGCAGTGTCAAAAAGTGCGCGCAATCGCCAAAACACGGGCAAACTTTTTGGTGGTCGAGCACTTTGTTTTGTCAGCACGATCCATGGCATCAGTGACAGTGCCTCAGCATGATGTGAAATACTGATTAGCAAACCACCCCGGACTCATGCTTATTCTTTCCAAGCCCTCGACCACACCAACAGCACGTGCCTGTTCCCAACAACTTGCACATGTGTGTGTGTGTGTGTGTGTTACAGTCTTTTATCGCGGAGAGGGAAATTTGGAAAACGCAAGGGGGATGACTCCGGTGGCTGACCGACGGAAGGCGTCAAGGGACGGGGGTTTGGCAGGATAGCGCCTGGCCTGGCCGACCTTGCATAACCCGCTGAGTTACTGCATAACCTTTTTGCCTCCTACCAGGAGGTACCTGACTGACGCGGTATCTGAGCGACCGAAACCCAACCATGTAAAGGAAGCGCGGATAGTACTTGACGACGGACAGCCACCCTACGAAGCAAAGTACCTGACGGTACCTGACTGACGGTCACAGGTGTCTGACGGTCTGACGAACTCACGAGTTGGCAAGTTGAATCTGCAACGTACATGCCCCTACCACCATCTCCGTATTGGGTTGCCGACATACCGGCTTCTTTGTGAATTGGAAATGAACGGCGCAAACATGAGCAAATTAACACTTCACACAAGAGTGCCGAGGCAGAATTCAGCGCGCACAAAGCGACGTGGGATGCCATCCCCATAGCGGGCATCAACGATGATGATTCGACTATCGCTTCACAGCCCCAGCTGTTGCCAAGGCCAACTCCACTCGCACACGGCACAAGCCAAGTAGCCGCTGCAGGGCCCTCTCCACCAAAGCGCATGGACTGCAGACCTTCGTGCCAGGGAGATATCATTCCGGCACATAACATTGCCACTGCAAGCGAGAAAGTCCTTGGCGAACTGCAAGCAAAAGCTTGCTTTGCTGTCTTCATGCAAAAGTGATTGCATATGTCGGTGTACTTGCGCGTGCTAAAAAAAGTGTAGGTGTGCGCCTTTGTCTTTATATGTGTGTGCATAATGTACATGTGTGTGTGTGTGTGTGTGTCTGCGTGTGTTGTTGTGCGCCTGCTGGTTATGTTGTGCTGCCTGCTTCTCTGTGTTTGCGTGTGTGAACAAACGTATCTACAAATGTATTTTTCTTATATGGATAGTAACCCCCCTGGACTACTGGGTGTTTTGCTCAAGCAATGACATGTTTGCTGTAAACATGCACGTAAATTGGACTTTCCAGCTTCTAAAATGATGCTCTTAAAAATGCAATCCTTGTCTACGTGCTAGCACGTGCTAGCGCATTTTGGATTGAAGATTCAAGATTGAAGATTCTCTGACAACTCTTCTGGGATTCTTCAATCTTCAGTCTTCAATCCAGGATGTGCTAGAACGTGCTAGCGCATGCTAGTTTGTCTGAACTATGGATTTGATGATTTCCAGACAAGCGGTCTGATCTTTCCATGAGCGGGAAGGTACGCCAGCATCGGTTCTTGCAAAACCGGCCCACGAGGCCAAGAAGCCAATCACTTGGAGGGGTCCAAGCTGACAGGGTTCCTGCTAGATGCCCCCTTTTAAGCCTAACATCCGCAACCAAGGGTGGTGATAAAGCCACCCCCAAAAGAGTTGCGAAGGATGTCCGAAATATGGGCGGCACGTCTCAAGAAGCTCAGAAGTTCTCAAGCGGCGAGCATTTCAAGCCACCGGGGAGGTACTGCCCTGACCCAGCTAAAGCAGGACCTCCATTTTTGCTCAATTTCCCTGGAAAAAAAGGAAGAAAAAAAACAAGTAGTGATGGGTTCCATTTAAAACCGAAAGAGGAATCTAATTCTGCTTGAGCAATTGGAAGAGGCTAAGTTGCGCATGGTTCTCCCCCCCCCCCCCCCGCATTGGTTTTCGGGTCGTCACTTCTCAGCACCAAGATCATGGCACCTTTTCTCTATTTCTTTTGAGCTTTGGGTAGTAGGCCGCCAGCCCCAAAGCCCTGACCAGAACACATTCGAACCTTCGGCCCGCTGGAAAGCCTCTTGAAGTCGGCGAATGGCAGCGAAGAGAGCCGCTGAACGGCTTGCCCCCCAAACAAATTGAGGGTGTTGGTCCCCTGCGAATCCCAAAATTCAGAACATGCAGTTCTACTCTCAGGTGGCTGTGGTTGTCAAAACCGTTTTGGGATCCCATTTTTGTTGGTAGGTGAATTCACCACCCATTTTAGAACCTATTTTAGTGGGGATTGGGGTGTTCACTAGAAATATGGGCTTTTGACCCATGGCCAGGTGGCCCCTAAACCCCCACAAGGCGCGGTTTGGTGCCCCAAAAAATGCGCCAGCTGCTGCCTCTCCTGCGCCAGCTGAGCGTCCTTCACCGCCAGCTGGTGCTCATTCTTGGACTCCTGGCAAGCGAGTCGAGCCCCGGCCACAACCCGCCTGGCCAACCACTGGAGGTCTGGGTAGATAGTGTCATGTGTTTTGTTTGTTTTTTAGCGACCAGCCCTTGTTCTGATCTGTAATAATTACAGTGGTTGATTCCCCTGCCCATGATTCCATGATGACTTCACAGTACCAAGGGAGGGTTGCTCTTGGTATCAGCAACCAAGAATCCGATTCTCTTGCCGGGTCTGGAAGAGATTGAACCATCCAGCGTGTTGTTCCTTGTTTCTCCGCATCCGTCCGGTCATTAAAAAACATTTCCCACATATCGAACCAGGACAAATTCTCCCCAGCCAACCCACTGCCCAAAGTTCCACGTCCCACCCCCAAGACTTGGCCCACGTCTGCGCTCCCGCCAAAAATCCGATGTACCTGCTGCTTCGCCTTCATATTTTTTCAGGCAACTATCCCCCCCCTCAAAAAAAAAACACATAAACACGACTAGCTCGCTTTGGGCCTTGGGTTGCGCGGCCGGCATCCAATGGATCCCCATGCCTGGCGGTCCATCTTCAGCTCGTGGTTGCTCTTCTGCAGCTCCGCCAGCCGCGCGGTGGCCGCCTGATGGAAACCAACGAGCACCCAGCACCCAGCACCCAGCACCCAGCACCCAGCTCAAAGAGGGAAATATGGCTGGCTCGTCTCGTCTGTTTTTGAGGCCCCGGTGCCCTTTTGGGGTGGTTGAAGGGAAACCAAAAGGAAACCCTCTGTTCACATGCCCATCTTAATGGGTTTGCAGTGAGGTTGCATTGGTGAATGGTTCGCGCACACACAAAGCCCCCCCCCCTTTAAGGCGTTCCATGGGCTGACATTGGTTTTCAAGTTGAGTGGGTCTTCCCCTGCGACAAAAACAGCTTTGGCAGGTTCAACGAACAGAGAAATCGCAAAAAAAATCGACCAGCCCAAGAGAGTGGTTGGTACCCTATGTTGGTCTAAGGTCTGGTACGAGAGAAAAGAAGTCCGAGCGCACAATGACCCCACCCCATCAAACCGAACGCACAACCAAGTCAAGTTTAAACCACTCACCCACTGAACCACTGAGCCTAACAAATGGGTAGAGGAAGATGGTCTTCCCTCCAACACCCCAACGGAGGGTATGGTCCAAGATGTTTTGCTGAACAAATCCTTGGACGATGTTTGGGACGGAGAGGCTCAGAGGCCGCAAACTCTTGCACACTTCCTCCCTCGCCTTTAGAAGGAAACCTGGAAAATCACTTTTCTTTTGGGGGTACCCCATGTCAGGTGCCACTTTCGTGGGAGGGAGGCTCATATCTTGTTTCACCCAAAAAGAACTTAGGGGAAATTGGCGAATCTGGACTTTGCTCAAGCCCTGAACTTGCAAGGGGGCTGGCAATCCCACAAATCATCCAGCTTCGAAGAGGGTTGGGAGGTGGGGATTCATGGGCTAACAGCGCTAGCCGAACCATCAAGGCTCTCCACAGCCAAAGGTACCAGCTTGCTGGACAGCGTGCACGGAACCATCCCTCAACAAGCACATGGGGAGCGGCTTTCCTGGCTCACTGAGCCAAAACCCTTGAAAATCTCAGTTCAGCTTCTTCTGTGTCCTTAGTTTTCGCGATCCCCAAAAGTTGAAGCAGGTTTGGAGTCTTCCCCAAAAAACTGTTTGCCCCAAACCCCATAGCAACGTCCGCTCCTTGACGTCCCCGTCGAGCGTCGCCACGCTGCCTCCGCTGCTGGTCCGATCCCCCGCGCAACTGGGGGTGGCTGGAAACAAAGGTTACCCACCTCAAAGCCATCTTCAATGCGTGTCAAAGCAAAACAACCGGCCGTGGGTCAAAAGCCAAATCGTACCCCCAGTGAACATCACAATCCCCACTAAATTAGACTAAAATGGGTGGTGCACCTACCCCAAAATGGTACCATTGTTTTTGACCCACAGCCAACTGGCCTTGACTTGCTACCAGGACCCCTTTGCAAGACTTGGCTCCATTTGCACACCCCTTCTGGGAGCTTCCATGTTAGTCTGAGGGAGTGTACCAACCTCTACGACGGCTGTAGTGAACAAGTTGCTCCCTCCCGCCCACTCTTCACTCCCAGCCTTTGGCGGACTCGATCTCGTCCCCCAGCTTCTGCATGTCATCTGCCTCACTCCGTTCAAAGCCCCCCCCTGGCCTGCTACGAGGCTATGGGCTGTGGATACCGACAAAAACCACAACCTCACCTGTGCCAAGGGAGGAAGTGGATCCCGGAGACCGCAAGACGAGCAGCACCGTCCCACAGTCCCACCGCTCCTTGGTAGTCTTCTCGTAGGTGTTCTTGTCAGTCTCCAACTCACACCTCAGCTTCTCAGGAAGACGTGCATCGCTTGGAATAATCTGCGACCTGACTATCCCTGTGGATTCCTTTTCCCTTGTGCTCAAAACCCGCGATGCGTCCGAGGTCACTGGATTTCCGGGTCGCAATGATACCGCCTCCTTTGGGGTGCACAACTGATTCCCTGACTTCTGGACCTTTGGAGTTCCCAGACCAAAAAACAAACACGCACCCCTAGCAATCCCCCTCTCCTTGATCCGCCTTTTCGGGGTCCGCGCCAGTGCCACTTCTCGTCCTCCTTCTTCTGCTCCTCTTTCAGCTTCCAGATCTGCTTCTCCAAGACGAGATCCACCTCAGAAAACCGAGCGATCGCTCCCCATGAGCCAAACCCCAACTCTGGCTGAAAACACCGCGGTGGTCGATCCCCCAGTAGGGGGAAAAGCCGGGAACGTGTGTGGTCAGGCGCCTTTGATGGCCCATCTGAACGACAACACCCTGAGTCACTGGGCCAAAGAAGTCTGCCATTTCTGCACAACTAAGGATAAAAACATGGGCATTCAACATGTGCGTTGGTCGAAGCTCGACTGTTCCACATGTGTGTCATGTTGCTTTCCTCGTTCAATGCGACCCCCGCTCCGCATCTACATGACCCACGGATAGTATCATTCCTTCCCCAAGAAGAAATCTCAACATCGGGGCCTTTCTCCCTGACATCCTGGATGCTGCAGGAAATTTAGGACTCTCCACCCTTCACGTCCTCCCCAAAAACAACACTAGAGCAACAATATATGTTGTCAGCTGCTCGCGCGAAACTAGCAAGCACTTTGAAGAGCCTCCTACTCTGCCAGGCCGGCATTCTGAGCGCGTGGGTGGTTTCAAGGCAATCAATATGGGTCAACATTAAACCACCAGCAGACCGCAGGTTTTCCATTTTGGGGTTACCCTATTTTGGACCCACGGCAACATAACCCCATCCATCGCCGCGTCTCGCAAGGCATTTCCGGGAACGGAACCTCCTTGCTCACATCTCCGTCGCCCTCCAGCTGGGACTTCACCTTTGCGCCATGCGTCCACCGGGTGGTTGTTGTTTTGAGGCTCGGTGCCCCGATGCCAAGAAAAGCACTTGAGTTCTGCTTCGGGGGGGTTCCCCCATTTTGCCACATACCCACAAAAGGAAGCCCGAGCGAGAGAGAGAGAGGGAGAGAGAGAGAGAGAGAGGGACAACCTGAGTCATGAAAGGGGTGTCCTGTCACCAATGCATAGAAGTCAGAACCGTCCGCAAAACTGTCTCGCCCTCAACCCACCAGCCAAAACAGAAGCGAAAACGAAACATACAGAAACAAACACAAAGCCGAAACCCCACCGAACAAAAGAAACTGGTCTCTGCAATCTCAAACCTTCAAGCGTTCAACTGTTTGAGGTGAGCTTCAAAAATTGCAGCCCAAAAACTTTTTGGACATAAACACATGGTCAAGAATAGAACAAATACTGTATGTAATATATACATATATATATATATATGTGTATATATATATATACATATATGTGTGTGCTGTCTATGTATTTCTTAAAAAGGAAAAAAGAAGAAGACAAAACCTTGTTACATACATATTTCTGCCACAAGAAAGTGACGATTTTGACGGCCACACCTCCGCCCCAACGAAACAAGCCATCCGCCTGCATGAGCAGCCGCTTCAAGTCCCCCAAGCCGGACCGCTGCACCTGGCCGGCCATCAGAGAATCGGGGAGCACCCCATGAAGCCAACCCAGAGGCGTCCCTGTGAAATACCCAGCCCATGCGCGGGTGGTCTTAAGAGGAAACCCACCTATGAAACACCGAAACCAAAAGAACGCCACCATTTCGTGGATCCCCGATTTGGAGATGTTCTGCTTTTGGGGGAAAGCAAGGCGCTTGGGGAGGACAAGTAGCTGGATGGAGATGCTTTGGGCCTCTGGGGGCTGGGGTCAAGATATCTGTTTCCTCCCGCAGCCCAGCCCGCCTCTTGCTCCAGAAGTTCAACAGCCCTCCTCGCCTTGTCGTGGGAGGCCTAGGGCCGACCGCTCAGTGACTCCGTTCCATAGGCGCAGTTTTGTGTCCACCAGGCATTCCACGCCATTTTGTTTGCGGTGGCCTGCAGGAAGAGTTGCATCAGGAAAGAAGCGCTCGTAGAAGAAAAAACTTTTCAACCACCTGCAACGAGAAATGGACACACCGACTTTGACCACACGCGCCTTGGCCCTCAGGGTTCGGAAGCGGTCAGATCCCCATTTACAGGAGTGCGCCCCGACCCAGAACTCCTCGGCGGCCGCCTGGCCCCAGCTTCACCGAGCTGGGCGTTGGGCGCCGACCCCAGCTGGGAAGCCTGCGAAGTTGCCTAAAACTGGCTGGGAGGTCTAGCCTGCGCTACGAACAGCGGCGAGCTGAGCCTCTCCTTGGCCTGGCCTCAATACGCTCACTTTCCGCTCTTCCCACCCGCATTCTTTGCTCGCGTGAACTTGGAAGGGGGTGCCTCCACACTCAATCACCCCCCCCCTCCTCCTGCTCAGCCCAGGCATCATTTGCTCAAGCCGGCATTGCTCTTATGGTGCTTTTGAGCCTGGCCGAGGCGGCAAGCGTGCAACCTATCCAACACAAGGCACCCCTATGAAAGGAAGCTTCATGAAATCCCTCGAAGCCCCAGACTAGGTCGTTCAAAATGGGAGGAATCTCATTTCCGCAATGCATGAAACAGCCCATAAGGGAAACCACTACCATCTGGGACAAGGATAATCGGATAAAATAGGAACTGCTTTGGAACAGTCAGTCAAAGCCACCAGCTCCCAACTGAGCTCACCGCTCCTGCCTGGTCCCAATCCGACCTGGCGACACGCAAAGAAATGCAGCACGCGGTTTTCCAGTCACGATGTCTGATTGGGGACTCCTCTGTGCATGGGGGTTTGTGTCCACCGCACTAGCACCATGCTTGACTTGACCAAGTCGCAATGCAAAATGTGTTGGTGAACCAGTGTATTCTTGCAAGATCATTTCGTCACGTCCGAGGCTCCAAGCGCGAAAAAGCCTTCGTCACACATCTGCTGGAGCGCATGGCCGTGTGTCAAAAGGACGGACTCTCTTGGGGACAGGTTTGAGAAAAACAAACCATGCTGACAAAACCAAAAACTTGACAGCAACGAAAAAGGCGAAACCCCCACAGTCCGAACCAAAGACACACACGCACACAGTGACTGACCCACATCCGTGCCTCATCTGGAAGAAGCTGGCCGGCGCTGCGGTGCGCACGCCCGCGGCCTGCGGAAGTTCGGGATCTACTGCAAATCCTCTGGCTTGAGGGGCAAAATCGAGCAAAAAGTGCAAGGCGGACATCAAACTAATGAGACTTATGAGTCTTATTATGGGTGTGGCTCAAAATTGAACAGCTAGGGTCACGCAGATGTTGGTTTTTGGTTCAATTTGCCAAGGTGCCATTTTGGTACATATTTTTGAGCCACACCCTTATGAGTGTTTGGATGGTGATGAGGCCTGCCCTGACCTGCCCTGGAAATATATGCCAAACTCAGCTGGCCCTTTTCCCTTCCGGCTCAAACGCCAGGCATGTGGGCTTCCGCGAAAGCCCGCCATGCATCTACGCCTCCCTACATCTCTCTACATCTCAAAAACCCCTCTCAGACTCTTCAGCGCTCATCCTCAATTTTCCTCAAGGAATCGGGGCGCAGCCAGCCGCCACGCATGCCGCCATGCAGGTGCCCAATCCCGCGTTGCAGGCGAGGATCGCCATCGGCGTGCCGGCCCCAGCCGTGACGGTGCCAAAGGTGACCCCGGCGGCAGCGTAGCAGGCGACGACCACCGCGTTGCAGCCCGTCTGGCAGACGCCGTACGACAGCGGCCCCGCTTCCGCGCACAGCAGCAGCAGAGCCACACACAAGAAGCGCGCCATCTGAGTCGCAGGTGCCGACCCTTTTTGTTCCTTACACTAGGCTTGACAGCTCAAAGCAGGCAGACAAGCAGACATGTCCATCCCACAGGCAAAATCAAAATGAGTGGCTAGGGAAGCGAAGGAAGGCTCTGGAGGCATCGGGGGCTCCCATGCTTTGCCCAACCCATCAGCTTCCGCCCTCGGGCCTTCTGCAGGATCTGCATGCCATAGGCCATGGCCTAGAGCTCTCACGCCCCTCCCCATTGCAGGCAGGGTTTCTTGGAAAATTTCAAGGGAAACCAAAAGGAAACCACTCATCCCCCTATCTTGAGACAAACCCATGTTTTCCCCCAAACCCGGCAGTTGGCTCGAGTAACTTCGGGGACGTCTCTTCCCCCACCTCCTGCTCGCGGCCGCGCATGTACACGCGCTCCTGCACACTTCGGCGTGCCACATTCCCAGTTCACCCAAACCTCCAATGGATTGCCCGGGGGAGAAAAATAAAAGGCAAATCGTCTGGACTTTCAACCCCTCCCGGAACACGGGAAAACAAGTGACCACTGGAGTTCTGCTTGATGGTTTGGAGTGGTGGGACGTTAGTTACATGTTACCAGGTTCAACTTGGAAGCGAAAACCTCCAAACCTCCCGGCCCCAGGGGATTCGTCGAGGCTGGGGCCATCCACTCAAGCAGTCTCAGCCTACCTTCACGGCCGCGCACCCACCTGCCAACCAACCCACGGACCAACAAGAAACCAGGCAACAAAGCAACTCAGCAACCATGCCAGGCAACCATTGTATGTCTATTTTTTAAATAAGAAAAAAAAGAAGAGCCTCCCCCAACTCAACCAACAACGTCCGGCAACCTTTGGTGCCTCCAAAGCCCCGAAATTCTACGTGCCCCGCCTTGAACTCGGCCGCCTTGGTGGAGCAGCTGCTGCTGGTGTCCTTCAGGCTCTTGCTGTCCGCCTGGGGATTGGGGGGGTGGGGCTTCTGGGCTTCAGCCGGGAGTGGGCGGTGCCCAACGCAACGCCCAAAGGAAGCCACCCAGCTCTTTTCATTTGAGGAAGGTTGCGAGGGTTTGAAGCCAAGACAGCTCCATCCAGTAGCGAGTTGTGCTGCGGCTCGGCAAGCCGAAACCACGTGAAGCCAGCTGGGTCAGCGGAACTGGGGAAGCAGGTCATGTTTCCAGGTAGTCTAGGGAGAGGGACAAGTGATGCTCGACTGGTGAAAGAACACCAGTGGTAGCAGATTGGCCCATCGCGTGTGCTTCCTTCTTCACTCGTTGGATCGCTCTGTCAAACATCAAACAAGTGTCAGATTTCACCAGAAAGCCACTCCCCTTGCCCCTCAACAAACGCCATCCGAAAAAAATGCGTGCCAAGAATCGGTCTTCCTTTCTTCCCTTTAAACCCACATTTTCAGCCCCCCCCCAAAACCCCCCCACCCGGTACCCCAAACCCCCCCCCCCACCCGCCCGGGCGCCGCCTCCAAATCCGCCTGGGCCGCGCTGAGCGCCGAAGCCTTGGCGCTGAGCGCCGCCTCCGCCTGGGCCTGCGGCGAGAAATCTTTCTGTGCCGAGACGTCTCCACTCCGCGTGGGAAGTTGGCCGAAGGCGGAAATGTGGGAAATTTGGGATCTGGGTGTGGGGACACTCGCCCATCGACTGGGCCTCGACTTTCACCTACAAGTACGATCTGGACAGAAAGGTCGGTCTCAAGCGGTGTTTCCCGACCATACCTGTTGGGTGCTTTTCAAAACTCAGGCTTACTAAGCTGGAAAAAAGCTGGAAAAAAAGACAACTCTGTACACTCTACGCTCAGAGAAGCTTACGAATGCACCATCCGGAAAAGATGCCGACACCAAGGATTCCCCATCCAGCCGGACCTGAGAACTCCAAGGCCACAACGCAAATGGTTGCGACTGTCCCAAAGGTAGCTTCGGCCACCTGCGCGGCTGCTTCCTTTGTGTCTTCCCACGTTGCACCATCTTTTGAAGCATCCCACACGGCCTTTGCAGCACATGCAACGCCAATGGTGGCACCAAGTACAGGGGCGGCATTGCGAGCACAAGCTGCAGGTGCCAAGGCTCCCTTGGAAGCTGCGAATCTTGCAACTGCTTGCGCCCCTGTCTCTACAGCCTTTGAAACACCTCCCACCGCCATCCCTACTCGAGCTCCCGCTGCGACTTGCTTGAAAGCCTCTCCGTCACTGGTCTTGCCACTAGCCCAGTCTGCCCCCGCATAGAGGCTAGAAGTGGCCGCGCCAACAACGGCCCCAACAACAGCAGCGCTAGCAACTTCCGCAACAGCATCCTGGACTGCGTATGACCGCGCATTCTTCTTCATGGTCTCAAACTTTCCTGTTCTCTCGGTGCCCGTAAGCTTGTAGTTCTCCTCGCTCAGAATCTTGAGGCTGCGGCTCTGTTCTCCTTTGACTACTTTATTCTTGGGGGCACCTGAACCACGTCTAGGAATTTTCGCTTCAATCACATAGTCGGCAGCGAAGTCTCTTGCTCCAACTGCACCATAATTGTTCCTCAAAATGTCCCTCTTGCTGTAGCTTCGCGGGCCTTTGCCTGTACAGCTCCTGGTCCAAAGCGCCTATCACTGGGACCAGAAGCTCGGATATGCCCGTCTTTGAGGATGCCCTTCCAGCCTGCCGCATCTGTGTAATGATACACGGACTCAATTGCCATGATTTCATTCGCGCAGGTTTGGACGGGCATGAGCGAAGGGAGAAGACTGCCATCGCCATTCTCGAGCGAACCGGGAAGACTGCCATCGCCATTCTTCTCCTTCATCGTTGACATTGATCCCGAGGACTCCAAGCTTCTCGCCATCCGGAAGCTTGTCACCCTCCTGGTATGTGGCCACCCACTGCATGAGCGGCTGGTAGCCCTCGTCAATCTCAGGAAAGTACGGCAAGCGCTCATCGACCGTCAGAAGGGCGCCTGGCCGCTGATGTGATTCAGCGAGAGCCCACTCGACCAGAAGCGGCAGGCCTGTGGCGCGAGCAAGCGGCTGAGCAGTCTGCAGTGCACGCAGGTACGGAGACGTAAGGATCGCCTCAATACCCTCGTCGGCCAGATGGGCAGCCACGTGGAAAACTATTAGCCTCGTTGAGCCACTCAAGCCAGGGATTGGGGATTTGGGGTATACCTACATTCCAGTGTACAAGGGGCCTTTTTGCAAGAGGATGGTAGTCTTCTAAAAACCTGCTGTACACTTCCATGACTGGAAATGGGTCTGTTTCAGAAACCAAGGGCCACGGACGGATCCATAATCGGGGTTTGTCTTCCAGGGCAACCCCCTACTTGGAAAGAAGGCATTTGTTTTATGGAGAAATCTGTTCCATTGCAACCCAACCCAGGCAGAAGTGCCAAGCGTTTGTAGATGGTTCCACACCCTGGAATAGGCCTCGATTCAACCTCGAGGTTATAAAGATCTTCAAACAACTTTGTTCAAACAACCTCCTTTCGGTTTCTCTTCAGGGGGGGGCCAGGGTCTGACTGTTCAACAAGTTCTGCCCAACTCGTTTCTCTCTGAAGAAGCATCCTCCACCGCCCTCACCAGACCCCAAGCCCGACCTTCACGCTCTCCTGCTTGCCCTTGGACTCCTTCGCAACCTGGCGGCTTGCGACCAGCGACAGGGAAGCCATGCGTTGCAGGGCTTGGCAACATCACCACGCGCTTGGTCAGACCCCGGAACGTCACCGCAGAAGTCCCACACCCCAGGGTTGGATGCAAGACAGTCCTCCAACTACTTGGTCCCAACATAGAAATGTCCCATCCCTGACAACAAAACGGGAATTGGGGTCTTCAGGATCGAGAACCCAGGTCAATCTGACGGAAGCCGACCTTCATGGGCAAGACCCACGCGCCTTGAGGGCATTGTCCCTGCCGCCCTTCTCCAACTCCTCAGACGGCGAAAAGAGAATCGCTCTAGGGTCCATGGCAACGTGATGGCAGGTGAAATAGCAAGCTACTTACTTGAGGTGGTTGGTTCCGTTGCGGGAGGGCAACAGCTGGCTTGTAATTAGAGAAACCTCCATTTCGCAACCGTTTGCACGTTGTGGGTAAATGGTCGTCCATCTCGTGCGATCCGCAATCCGTGGCTCAAACCAGCCAGTTATGAAAACGGAACGTACAGGATGCCACCAAACAAGCGGGCCATGCCGCCAAACCTGCACCTGCCGGAGTCCAAGGCTTAGCCAAGCACATACTCAGAGGTGGCCTTCATCTCTTCCTGCGGCTGAGCGTGTTGGGGGCTGGAGAAATCCTCCATCCTGTGGCGACATTTTGAGACAAGCTCAAAAGTATAGGCGATTTCGCGATTTCGGGATGCGGCGATTTGCTTCATGTGCGTGTGGTTGTCACTGCTGCCAAGCCCCGAGGCAAGGGAAACGTCGAACCTCCCCAACAAGATAAACAAGCCCTGCCATAGTTTACGACCTGCTTCCAAGAAAAGGAGGCGAGCGCAAACGAGAGGTCCAATGCTGATCTCCAGCAGCACCTTGTGGCTTGCTTCTGCAAAAAAAGAAACCTTCTGTGATACCAATGTAGACCATCCTTGTGACTTCTTCGTCCCTTTGAAGGGGGGTCCCTTGGTATCGCAGAAGTTTGGCCCAAAAAGAGACATGTCCCACATCCATGCTTTTTTGCCCGAACCGAAAACAAGTGCCATGGTTTGGCTTTTGGAGCCACACCCCGGCCTTCTCGCTCTCGTGGAGCTTGTCTTCAAAGTCCATCTTCAGCTTTTTCAGGAGGTCGGTGACACCCCCTCAGAAGCTCGTTCGGAGATTGGAGAATCCTCTTGCACCACTTGTCTTGCGAGCGGCAAAAAGGTTGAAATAAACCCGAAAAGGTTTGGTGGATCATGCAAAAAAAAAAACACGGCCGGATCCTCTTTTTTCCCGTGAGCGGCAAGGAATCTGCGGACATCAAAAACAAACCACAGTCCGCCAAGCGGAACCTCCTTCCAACATCTGAAGCCGGGCCCATCGCGTCCGCCCCTCTGGGCCCGCGGGCCCGTCTTGAAGTCGTACGACGCCTGGCGGGCCCCGGTGGGGCCGTTTGGCTCGCTGAGCGAAAGCACCGGGAAAGCGGTTCACATCTCTTATGTTTGAGTGAGGCAATGCTCGGGTAGATAATCACTGTGTAGACCTGACTGGGCACTCTGGCTAGATCCTACCTGCTACTACCGCTGGGTAGGTACTGATTACCCTGAATAGGGGGAACCCTCCTAATGGGGTCTGGTTTCCCTTTGGCTTCCCTTGCAAACATCCCCGAAAACATACTGCTCAAAAAAAAAAGCAACATACATACCCCCTTTCCAACAACTAAATCCCCTTCGACACCAGGATTGAAAAAAAAAGGAACCCTGGTTTGATCTGGCGCTCGCTTCAGGCCTCCGGCGCGGCTTGTGCAGCGGCGGACAGCTCGGCCTGGGCTCCAAAAAAGGCGCAAGAGGGGAATGGCCCCGAGGATCTCCTTGCGGTCTCTATCACCTGACTCCCCTGTCCAGCAAGCTTTTGGTGGCGCGTCTGAAAGCAGGGGCTGGTTGTGCATACCGCTTCTTGCCCCGGAGGCGAGGGTTCGAGTCGGAAACTCTCATGAGAAGCCAGGAAATGTGCAGGGCTTCCGGGCCTATGAGCGTCGAACTCAAATTCCGGGGCCCCAATTTTTGGCAATCAATCCATGTGTGACGGGGTCCAACTCTTCAAATGTCACCCGCTTGCGAGTAGGCAGCCTGACGGTCGTCTTAGGAGCCATATTTTAACAAACGCGTGTACCTTTCTGTTCAAAACTGAAGTGAAACAAGGGGACCATCCGAGTGAAAACCTAAGACTTCAGAAGCCGAGTGAAAACTCTTCAAGCATAATCAAATAACGTGCCATCCCTTTGCTGCAAGTGCCTCAGCTGTTGCCCCCTATCGAACATATTCTCGTTCTGGCCCGTATTTGGTATCCCTTTTTCCTTGTTTGGTAGTGGCCATCGCACCCAGACCGAGCCAGACAACACGCGTCCTCTTTTCATTTTTCTCCCCACTTCCCAGCCTCCCAGCCTCCCAGCGTCCAGCTTCCCAGCCCCTCAGCTTCCCCATTTTCGCCGCAACCAATGCTCCACCGGCAGATTTGCTTCAGGCCGCTCTTTTGCACAACACTGACGCGGGCTCAATTCCATGAGTCTTCTTTGCCAGACCGTGTCCCTTCCAGAACGCTTCCTTGGCCGGAAACCTACAAGGACCGAACCCCCTGCATCCGCCTTGCGGCCCGTCCTATGCAAAAGCGGCACGAAGCAGCCCGGCCGGCCGGCGCTTCCTTCGAGCCGGTCCGCCCACGGGCGGGTTCCGTTTTCCCACGCCGACCAAAGGTGAGCCAAGGAGAGCCAGCAAACGAAGTCCAACTCCAAGAAACTGTTTCCGAGCGCCATTCATACCGTTTAGGATTGGGGGGTCCCCTTTTGATGGGCCCTTGACAACCATAGAAGGCATGTTCTTCAACTCATGATTGCCTTTTGATAAATGGCCTTGGCAATCGACCTTTCTTCAGAAATCTATTCTTGAATCCCTATTGCCCTCTCAGTTTGGACCATGGCAACCTCCCATCGGCTTCGGAGCGCGGAACAGCTCGGCGGATCGTTCGTTCTCCGCCCCATCAAGGTGCTGCGCAGGCCCTCAGGCCACGGAGCGCTGCACATCTAGTCCTCAGCAAACCCCGGCCGCTTTCATAAATGTCCAGCCAGAGTCAAATTTAAGTCCCCGATGGAAGTAGCCATCTCTCCGAAACAAAAAGCTCAGATCCATATCACTCGCAGAGGGAGTCACGGGAAGGTCATGGCCCGGAAAATGGTCGTCACGAGGCTGAAATGGCTCGCCTTGCTATGGCTCGGAATCTCTAGGGAAACGAAAGGCCCAAAAGACATCTCGAAAGAAAGGCTCTGAGGCCCACTTGGATCAGGCTCCCGGAGGGTTACCAGAGTCTTGCTGGGGTCCGAATATCTCTCCCGACCGTCACCGAGCCTTGAAAGAACGAACGCAAACCGGAAGGTCTTGATTGTCCTACTGAAAACAGCCTGCTATGGACTTACACCGTGGGAGATCTGACCTGATGGACCACGCAGAATCAGCGTGATCCCGAGGCCAACTGCCTAAACCTCACATGCAGCGCATGGCCACAAAGAAGCAAGATGACACCAGAACAACCCTTCGGCAGCGTAAACGGAAACCCGCCCGAGTTGCCAAGTACAAGCCCGGCCTCCTTGCACAAATCAAAGGCAGAACAACACAAGCTGGCAAACAGAAAGGACCCGAAGGTCTGGGCTGGTAGAGACTCCAAACCATACTGGTAGTACAACACGGTGGCTCGAATAGGACCTCATCTTGAAATCAGCTCTGGGGCCTGGGTTGCAAATGAGATCATTGGGACGTTGGTCGAGTCATCTCTGGCAAGTGGGGATGCGTCAATGCAAAGTCTAAAGTTCAGGCGTGCTTTTTCATCGCCTCCAAATGAGACATCAACGACCCTTCTGTCAGAAAGCACCTTGAAAAAAGACGATCCCTAGCTGACCTTCCTATGCAAAGTAAACATCATGTCAAGAAGAGTGGGCCAACGGTGCCATACACTGTCTCATCCTTCCCCCTTCCCCGCAACCACCGCATGCCTCGGCCGACTGCTTGGGCGCGCCTGGCATTGTCTGCAGGGTTTGCGCCAACTGGACACGCCGATGGCTTTTGTTCAGTTGCAAGGGCGGTTCAGGCTCGGGTGCGCGTTCACATGCTCGGCTCTCGGCCTCGATTTCAAGTGTCTATGACTTGGCCTCTTTCGATAGCGTATCCGCACAATGAGGTTGCTTCGGTTGGTACACCCGGGGCTTTTGGCGCTTCTTCCCGTGCAGCGATTGAACCCGTTTGGCTCGAAACATGACCGCAGGCCAAGGGGCTCGCGAAAAGGTGACCGCGGAATGGCCCAGGGAAAGGGGAACCGGCCACCATTTTGAGCCCCTTTCGGAAAGGACACCCGGCCCCGGGTGGTTTTTGCCCCCAACAAACCGCCTCCCTTTCAGCCCGAACTCCTCACCCCCGGCGGCTTGCCCATATAGGTGTTTCTCAAACTAGGGCAACTTACTCCAAAGTTGCGCAAAAATAATAAGAAGAAGAAGAAGTGTGTTTTACGACAAATTGCACGGGTTGCTTCCTTTCGGCTTCCACTTGCCCCACTCTGCGCCGTGCGCCTGGGCCGAGGCGCCACTCCGCGCGCAGCACCGGGAGCTGCGGCCGCGACCGCAGGTCCTCGACGCCAGCGCGGGAGCCGGTGGCGGAGCAACAACGCGGCGGAGGAAACGCGGTGCTCCCCTTTTGGGTGTGTGCCTGTGCAACCCAACGAAAAAGAAGTAAAAAACACACGCGCCGCCAAAAAAGGGGCTCAAGGGGCCGGCCTGCAGGATGCGCTTGAGGTTCTTGGCAAAGGACCGGCACCAGGCTGTAGGGTAGCAGTCTGCGTTCAGGTCCAAGCTGATCCACCTGGCACCATCTGACTTGGGGGGGTGAGGGGGGGGCCAGCAGAGAAAGCGCCGGGGGAGTTGCCTTTTCGCCCGCTCGCCCGTTCGCCTCACGTTTGTGGCCTCCTTGCGTGACTGGCCCCACCGGTTCGCAGATCAAAAGCTTGCGTGGCTGAGGGAAAAGCGCGCAGGCAACACCAGGCATCCGGCGCCTGCGCACATACGGAAGATGGGCATGGCTCAGACTGCAAAGGGGATGACGCCCATTCGGAGAAAGTCCTAATTTTGAGCATTGGCCTTTCGACCTCCTCACACGCCCTTGTCCGAAATTCCGGAGTCCGAAGAATCGAGCCGGGTGTCACTGTTTGAACATGGTTCCAGCCATGGCTCACAACATCCTCCTTGCAGCTCTCTCTGTTCAGGCCATAGGAAGTTTGAAGCAAAACCCTCCCTTCCCTCTGTCAGGCTGGGCCTCCTGTTCCAGTGTAAGCCGCATGGGTCGGTGGCCCTGCGGGCACTTGTAGGACCTGCGCCGTGCAATCGAAAGGAAGGGCAAGGGGCGTTGGGATTGCAGGGCAGGTCCGAGGCGTGCAACGGATCAGTTCCATTTCTCTGTGGCTGTGGCCTCACTCAGACCGGACACTTGCCACAGGCGCAGGGCCCCTAGTGTTTGCAGGGATCTTGGAGATGGGTCAAAGCTTTTCCGTCAAGATGGGCCCTGTTCAGCCTTTGCAAAGCGCCTTAAACCCCCATTCCCGTTCAAAAAGTTCTACCACGACTGGGTCCAGCCGACCTCAATTTTCCCACAAATCCTCGGATCTGCCCCTCGCGACTCGCGCCTGCGGCGATCACACCGGGACTGGCGCCGGTTGCCATACCTCCGGGCTGGCACAAGGCTGGACCCGAACGCCAAAATCGCGCCCATCCCCCCCCCGCAGACCTGGTCCCCCCTGGCCCCCCTAACCCCAAAAGGAATGGCTCAGGGAAGCAAAAGCATGGTGGGTCAACTTCTGGCCAACTAGACATCCCTTTACAGATTACACGTCTGCAATGTGCTTCTGGCGCTGTGAACCATCATGAAAAAGGGACTTGCGGAAGGGACCCCCCGCCGAGTTGTTTCCTCAACAAGTTTACGAGGTTGCCGTAACTCCTTTTGGCTTCGCAATACAGTCAATACAGCCTGGCAATCACAGTGTACGCCAAAACCCTTCTGTCTGTGCCAACCCCATGTGGTCATGGTGGCGGACAGGCATTCGTGATTTCGTGAATTAGGGCAATGTTCGGTCAAGCCTCAGACCCTTGCTCAACTCCCACAGATCCAACAAACCGGATACCTCGTTAGCCCTGGTAGGGACATCGGAATGGAGAGCAGCTGGGTCAATAGGAAACCCTGAACGCATAGTTGTCCTCGTTAATCTCCAAACCGCAGAAAAACCTAACTTGAAGCCATCATGAACGCCACGTTTTGGGGCCGATTCCACTCGCTCCAACATAAAATCTGGCTGCTACCCGCAGAAGAAAAAAAAAGAGCTCAGGCGATGTCCCCAACAGCATGCGGCGCCCTTTTTGGTGCTCGCACCGCCCCGCAGCCCTCGCAGAACCTATTGAAACCCTCATGAAACCCTGGTGGAACCCTGGTGGAACCCTGGTGGAACCCTCGTGGAACCCTCGTGGAACCTTACTTCAGGGCCGCCTTGGACAACCCCGGAGCATATATGGGCTGAGACCCCAAAGCTTTCAGCTGTTGGGGAAAAAGAACACAAGAACAACATGGCTTCTTTGGTTCTACCTCTAGGTGGAGCACAAACTATTTCCATCTGCTTTCTTCCGCAGCTATCCAATCCACTCCGCACCCTCGGGTGAACCACCCGTCCGACGTTTCGACCCCAGGGACCCCGCTCATGCGCCCGCGTCTGCAGGAACTGCTGCTCGCCCCGCACCTGGCGCGAAGCTGGGGAACCCCCCCAAAATCCCCCCCCCATCCCGGCAAATGCTTGGATTTTTTTGGACGCCCCTTTTTGTGGTGGTTTTGAGGTTTACAGGGCGTTCAAGGGCTTTCCCACCCCCAAAAAACCAAGCATTCGCCAGGATAGGGGGGTGGGAAAGCTCTGTAAACCTCAAAACCACCACAAGAAGGGTGGCCGAACCAAAGAACCACACCCGGCAGAGTTGACGCAAACCGAAAAGGAAAAGACACTCCATCGGAATCGGCTTGCATGCGAAGTGAATGGATAAGAAAAGAAGCTCCAATCTATGCTCACGGGGAATCCCCTTTAAAAGGCGGCAGCGGCTAACTTTTGACAACCTGGTACACCTGAAGTACCCCCGATGTTTAAGGAAGCCATCCCTCCCCATTTGTCGGCATGCCACATACGGGGACTGAAATGAACGGCAAGAGCAACCTGTACTTCCTTGCATCACTCCACAGGTAATACTTTCAGCCAGCAATACTGCATCAGTTTTGCCCTACACCAAACATAACGTGTTTGATTCGGCCCAAATCGCGGGAACCTTGAACTGGGAACTTGATTCAATACTGGACCCATTGAAAGTGAGCACTCTCAGGACCTCTCAAACTGCCACTTGAAGTTGGACCAAGAATCCATGGGCATGTCTTATTTGAGGCTCGGAACCCATTGTGGGGTTTTTGTTTAAAGGGAAACCAAAGAGAAACCACTTATGTTGAAGGGTTCCCCTCCGAAATTGACAGACCCATGTGGAACCCAACCCCACCCCGGTGACCCAATTGCCTGCTCATCCAGCGGCAAAATGTTCACCAGGATGCTTCGCGAGTTCTGCGCGGGGTCGAACATAGCCCACCTGCCGACGAACCGCCTTCACGTTTGCAGCCTGTTGCCTCTCCACTTCACCTCCCCCCCAACCCACTTCACCTCACTCCCCATCACACGTGTGCCTTTTTCAGCCCGCGCGTTTTTCCTGCCCTTGAAAACCAACGCCAACCACAGCGCCCTATTCCGGCTTCAAACAAAAAAAAAACAAGCGAACGGCGCCGCCTTCGGTTCCGGATGGTATCCGCAAGGTCCAGGCAAAAGCCCAGCCTCACCCAAGGCGCGATTAGAACTTCCTTCCCCCGCGAGTATCGACTCGAGCTCTTGGGTTCCGCGCAAGCTCACTGAGGAGCTGCAAGGGACGGTGAGATCCTGAGGATGGCCCGACATGTCGTACTGCGGCATGAAGATATTATATATATATATATATATATTTATATATATATATATATATATATTTATATCTGTACGTACCTAGTCGATTTGCATATATATATATATATATATATATATATATATATCTGTGTGTGCGTAAAGATATGTATGTGTGTATATATATACATATATATATATATATATATTCACAAATATGTATGCGTATGTGTATATTATATATGTAAACATGTGTTTGTGTATGATTTGATATGATTGGTGTGTGTACAAAGGATTTCTTAGCAGGGAGTGGCAGCAAGGTCGAGAGTCTGCCACCAACGAAGAACTCTGGTGATGCAGTTGGAGGCGTCCAGCTGAGTGCCTGCAAGAATGTAATTTTAACTTCTGCTGCGACAAGGCACAAATAGAATTGCCCGGCGACAGTCTAAGAAGGGGCCAGATTTTTAGTTAAATCTGTTTTGCAGCTGAGCCAGCATTGGCCGTGGCCTTGTAGCACGGATGTTTCTGATCACTGAGTCTTGGACGAATTGCCTAGGACGGACGCCTGGGTCCACTAAGGAACCTGCCCCGAGTTCACCTAGGATGCCTCAATAGAACTTGCCTCGATAAGGGAGGAGAGCACAGCCACTTGCATTGACATTTCATTGGAGACTCCTGCGGTTTGCGACAGCCACGCCGCAAGTTGCGGGAGGGCGCTCGGCTTTGTCGGGCCCTTGGCGGCCCGCAGGCGTCAAATGCCCGCCCGGAGCCTTGCGGGAGCGCGCTCGGTTCTCCGGATCCTTGTCTGCTGGATTGGCATTCTGATTCCCCACAATGGGGCAGATCTGTGTGCATGAAAATTAGGACCATTAGCAAAGGCTTTGTTAGCAGAGGGTGGCAGCAAGGCCGCCAATCTGCCACCAACGAAGACACTCTCGCCGCCTTGGTGATGCAGTACGTTCGACTATTGAAAATGTTACCTCCTGATACAGCGACTGCGAGAGACGAAACACATGAATAGCATCTTAGGGTACACCGCGAATTTGGGGCCGCTTTTGGTCAAGAACAAACATAAATCCAACCCTTTGAATGGGGGTCCCACTATCCTCAACTTACTTGCGTGAATCGGTCAAAACGTCCAGTTATTTTTTCCAGATGGACTCAGGAAGTGTCTCAAATCGAAGAGCCAAGATCGAGTCTGCGGGCCCCGGCTCGCCAGTCGCTGAAAAGGCCGACCATGGCGTCGTTCAGGTCCCCGTCGCGCCTTTTTGCCGTTCCCGAGTGAAGGATCCCCGAAGGACATGCCTTGTTCATCAAGGAGAAGCAATCGACTGGAGGAGTAGGGGGGAGGGGGGAGCCGTCCCCCGCACGAGTGAAGGACCACCAAAGGGTGACATGCCCCTGTTGATCAAACAGTTGATGTTGTTGCTTTTTTCATCTGTGGTGTGATATCTGCTCCCATCGAACGAGGTTGTATACAAGGGCTTCGCTGGAGCAAAGGGGACACTCAGATACAACACCTCAACTTTCGCGTAAACCCAGGATCGTTCCTCAATCGTATGTCATACCATCTGTGTTTGTTCTAATCATTTATCATTCCGCACAGCACTTGCACACGCCCCTGAATAGGTAGCTGTTCCCCCTTTGGCCTTCATCCCACACCTTGCGGACGGTCTAACCCAAATCCCGGAAAAACAGAAAAACCAAAAAGTGAGCAGCCCCACTCGGGGCCCTGGCATGGGCACGTAGAGAGTCAGCGGCATGGACAGCTTCGGCGTGTTTGCTTCAAACTCCTCAGCCAGCGCATGCCTTCTGCATGCGAGAGGGGCTCGGGGGGGCAGTCAAGGCCAGGTCTCTCGCTTGTGGGGCAAGTTAAATCCAAATTCAGTTGTAACAGGAAAAGACCGTGTGAAAAGAAACGGAAAAAAAGCCCCGTTCTTGCCTTGCTGAGATGGTACCCTCAAAAACGCACACACACACACACACACACACCAACGCAAGTTGAGGCATGTTGTCGCCACCGGCGGTCTGGGTAGGTCGTCGCCTTCGGTTGCGCAAAGCTCCAATGTTCTTCGCGAACCCGAATGAGCTCGCCAGAACGCCTTCAAAACCAGGCCGACGGACCCAGATGGGTTTGTCTGGGGAAAGCTTCCAAGGTGGTTTTTTTTCTGAATGGCCATAGGCCCGTCTCAGAGAGGTGGAAGTTGTTGTTCTAAACGGCTCACATCCCCGTCCTCCTCAGTGCCACCCTTGTAGAAGAACCTGACCATGCCAAAACACCTCCAGCCTTTGGAAAACGTCTGCTTGCGGAAGTTGATGGGAAGGAAACCCCCTCCACTGGCACCACAATATCACCAAGGTAGGAAGCCGTTCTCTAGACAAACCTGTGGCTCACTTTGCCTGAAGGATCTGAGAAATAAACCTATTGGGCCGCAACATTGTGGGAGAACCAACCTCCATTTGCTCAACAGGAGGGGATTTGCGTTGTTCTAAGGCAAGACAAACGCACCCAACGCCGAGTTTCTAGCCGTGTGGCTTGGTCACCTGACAGCCAGGCCTGTGACGGTTTACAAGACCTCCACTCTTCCGAAAGGAGACCCGGGCCAGGTTTTCAACAAATCGTGACCAAAATCGAGAAGAAAGAGAGAAGAGCATGCCCCACGCAGGTTTCGTCAAATTGGAGTACGTACCCCAACCAACTGGGTTTACCAAATCTCGCAGACAGGTGCTTGACTTTTCAGAAAAACTTGGCGCTGTCCTTAGCCCCTTTGACCTTTTGAATGGAAACACCTGGCCTTTCCACCTTTGCTCAGGGGGGAAGAGCAACCCACAAAACACCTGCAGCTGGCAACAGCCACCCCAGCCCCCCTCCCTGCCAACCGCCTGGTCCGCGCGAGCTCCCAGCTGGCACGGAAGCCCGCGGATAGCGCGGCGCCCAGCAGCATGACGTCGAAGGGCACGCCGTACCTCCGGATGGTTGTGGATCAACGAGTAATCCGGCATCAAAGCCAAAATCCAACACGCCACACACCATATGGGGGGGGGGTCCCTAAAAAAGGACACCACACACACACCATATGGGTCTGGGGGTAACGCGGATCAACCCCAAAAAACCATCCAACGGGTAGCGTGGACAGACGGCTGACCAAAAGGGGTCTCAAAAACTCGCTGGTGCTCATCCCCGATTGCTGGTGCGACAGGCAGGGAATGAGACATGGAATGACCCCTAGAAAAACCATCCAACTGCTGGTTTCCTTTGAGGGAATGAATCCCCAAAACCGGTCCATGCAAGAGAAGCCTGGCCTTTTCCAGGGATCCGGATCTTTCTAGAAAACCAGCAAAAACCCTGGGGGAATGGCGAGCTATTGAAAAGAACGATGGCTGAAAAGAATGGGGAATCAACCCCTGGAAATCCGGCATGAAAGCCAAGATCCTGGTTGTTGATGACTTTTGTGGATTTCTGGCTCCGGATGGCCCACCGGCTCCAAATCAGCGCAGGAGACATAAGACAAGCCGGTGCATTCCCCTAGCTTCCTCCCTACCTTCTCAAAAGCTAGGAAAGCGGGAGGATACATAGGAATCAGCGCGGGATTCATACGCACACGTCAGCGGAATAGAAGTCAAACGACAACGGATTCCCTGAAACAGGAAGACCAGCGTTCAAGGAGTGTTCGGGCTTTGTTTGTTTTTGTTGCCGCGCAATCCACAGGAGTAAAACAAAGCCACACAAAACACCGAAAAAACACATGAATGCCATGCACCAAAAAAAGCCAAGCCAGTTTGCAACCTGGATAACCTAAAAACTATGGCTCTGCTCGGCCATCTCTTCCCTTGCTGCGGGAGGAAGATGTCCGGCATAAGTCCAGCACAATTGAGCCAGCCGTGCGCCATATTGCAACAGGCTCTTTCCCACGCCTTCTTTTTCCGCTGCATTTCAAGCCCAAGCGGCGAGGCGGGGAACGTCAAACCGGCTCCTTCCGCGCATAGAAACAATCTGGGCCGTGCTCAAAACCTTGCCCGGCTGGGAAGTCGGCGACATGGCTCAGATTCAGACATGGCTGTGGGTCAAAATAGGTACCCAAAATGGAACCCTGGCAAATAAACATGGACTAAAACCTGCGCTCCATATCCTGGTGGTTTATTTTTGACCCATACCCACATGACCCATGACCTCAAAACCTCTCCTTCCCTGTCGAGGCAAGTGGCGCATCCACAATCACAGGGGAACAAACGGGAGCGCCAGCTCCGGGCCTAACTGCCGATGCCAATCGTTCCCAGCGGAGGGGAAACCTGGCTGCGGTGTCCAAATACTCGCGGGCCAAGAGGAAATCGAGCTGCTTCATGAAGCCTCACAACAAAGAGTTGCTGGTGCTCCATGTGGGGGGGGGTTCTCAGAATGGCGCCTCCTTTTGCTTGGTGTTTGAAGGGAATCAGAAGGAAGCCACCCATTTCCGGGCTCCCTGCTTTGAGAAAGCATTTTCGCCCTAGCCAAGCTTCTTGACCTCCCCGCTGCCAGCTCACAGCTTGCTCTTCGCCTGGGCAAGTTGCCCGGGTGAGGCCAGTGGAGCCACGAGGACGTGGGTCCACGGTTCATTCCATGCGAACACCCCTTGCAAAAACAAAACCAAAAAACGTGACCCGAAAATCGGTGCAAACCCCACAAAGAGTGCATACACCCCTTGATATGTGACCCGAAGATCGGTTCAAACCCCCACCCAAAAAAATACGAAAAAAATCCGTGGCTCGTCCCCTCCAAACCAGAGGACGCTCGCCTGCGCCAGCTGCGCCAGCGCGCCGCCCACCGCCTGGCGCGCCGCCAAGTCCAGCAGCACCTGCGGAGATGCGGAAATGCGGTGTCAAGGGACCCCCCAAAACTCGGTTTCCATTGGGGAACCCCCTCAAAAATGATGGATTTCATGGTTTCCACCCCCAAAAAATGTGGGTGGATTCCATGGGAGCCCTAAAAAACTGGTGGATTTTTCTCCTTTCACTCCGTCTTCCCAAAAGGTGCCTGAAGTCAAGGATTTCCGGAAGTGAGCAAACCAAGGTAACAAAGGTGAAGGCTGTTCGCGATTCTTGAGAAGTCCAGGTACACCAAGGTGAAAATGGCACCCTGAATCTTGAATCTTACTGAGTAATAAGGCATTGAATCTTCATAATGAACCACCTCTGAAGTGGTGCGTTGCATCAGATACCCAACAGATCTATGTTTCCGCTTGGTGGTGTCATACAAAACGGCAGAAGAAAAAAACAGCAGGAAGCTTTTGTGGACCGCTGTAGTTTAGAAGGGTTGCTTGGCTTTCTGCTCTATCAGTCAGCCAAGATCCGTTTTCCCGGCACACTGGGGAAAAGAACCAAACAGATCCTATGCCAGGGCAACCCAAATCATTCGTCGAAAGGCGGACACATATCAGCTGTGACCACACCAAACCCCGCCTCCTCTGACCCCCCGGGGATGGCGGAAGCCCGGACCTCCCGATAAAGGCGCTCCACCATCTTCCCCGGGCCCTCGGAGCGACGAAGGACGCCCAAGGGTCTGAAGGTCAAAAGGGGTCAGGTCGGGGTTCGATATTCCGCTCGGCCACCAAAGGAGTACCCTCCCCGCCACTAACATAGCAACTCCCAGCAATTTCCCTTAAGAGGAAAATGATCTTCCAGGTGCCCTCGCTAACCTGCATCTACCCAGGTTTTGATTTTGGCTCAGATATCTGTCCTTCTCCACGCTCCATGGCCACCCCGTTTGGGTGGCAAAAAAGGATCAGCATAAAAGAGGAGGCCAATTCGATCCTGAGACGCCTGAGACAAGGCAAAGGGAATGGGAGAGCAGCCCATGAGGAGCAACATAGTCAAACTAAGCCCCATCAAAAAGCGCGGGGCTGTTGCCAAGTTGCTCTTCTTCTAACATCCTGGACAGTTTGATAAAGTATAATGTGCCCTGGGAATCTCCACTCACCAATGTATCGTGGGGAGGGCTCCTACATCCAGATTGAGCAGGACCGCAAAGGGTTGGCTCCCCTGAGGGAATGATGGATTTACAGACTGTCCGGTTTCATCCCGCCTCGCGCACCAGCGCAGAGCCGCCAAAGACCTCTCGCGAGAGCAGGGCCAGGGCCAGGTCTACACTTCCAGCGCATGCGAATCGCTCCAGCATCAAAACACAACGCCCACCATCTCCCCTTACAAAAAGAAACCAACCTTCTCACCTCTGCTTCCTGCCTTCCCCCCCCCTCTTTCTTCCCCCCCCCCCACACGAGGAGCAAGCCGTCCGCAGCAACCCCAAAACCCCGCCTGCGCGGCCTCGCGGGCGCAAAACTCGAAGGTCTTGGAGGCCATGACCTTCAGCAGGCCGCACTGGGCCCCCAACTTGGCGTCCGGCACCCCGCACTTGTACCTCGCATCGCTCGCGACAGGCGCGGGAGCTCGGCGCGGAAGCTCGGCGCGGAAGTTGCGGGGAAGTTGCGCGAAAGGCGAGGGACTGGCCGACGAAAGGAGGGGAGGGGGAAGAAGAGAGAAAGGGAGGGGAGGTCGGTTTGATGAGAGCGGTTCCAGAAACCGGGGAAGTTGCAAGCCCAACAGGAAGCGACCAAGGAGCATGAGGTGAGAGAGAGGGAGCGACCAATGCAGCAATGCCAGGACGTGAGTTTGGTAGGCCTGGCCATGCTTAAAAGCTTCGCGAGAAACCCACAGACCGCCCCTGAAAACACGGCATGCCCCAGCAAGCACGGCTTCGAACCCTCGCCCTGCTCCTCCGCCCCTTCCCTTTTCACAGCCCAGCGAGCCGCTGGTAGGCCACCCGCTCGTTGAAGTCATGAAGCGCCTCCACCTGCGCGGCTTCCATGAACTGGCCGTTAGATGGAAGGGCATATATGACGTATATGCATATATACATTTATATTATATACATATATATATATATATATATGTATATATATTATATATGTATATGTAAATATACCTATATTATACATAATTCGGGTGTGGCCCTTAAACTGCATGTTCAAAAGGACACCCTTTTGGTTCAGAAAGGCAGGCTGCAACTTCTGGCACCCAGTAATCACAACTGGGCACGAAGAAGTTGACATAAAAAGCCACCCTGTCTCCCTGTCGCCCCACGCCTGCCGCAGCATCTCCGAAAGCTTCCAGCGGATCATCTGGTGTTCCTGAGATCTGCGGGTCATGAGGCCGCGCTATGGAAAGGACACCACCAATTCCCCCCCCCCCCCCTAACATTCTCCCTTGTGGCGTGCTTACTGCTTACCCCCTTTTGCCGTTCACAGGGAGCTCTTCATTTCCGCTTCCGGCACATCCCCAAATCGACCTGCAGCTGTCATCAGAGTCTCTGTCGTTGGCTTCAGGTGCTGCAGTGGACAAATGGCAAACCTCCTCAAAGGAAGCCTAGAGACAACCAAGCACTTTTGGATGAGTTTGGGGTGCTGCAGTGGACAAATGGCAAACCAACCCAGAGACAACCAAGCGCTTCGGATGAGTTTGGGAACTCCCCGAATTGGCCATCCCGGCGATCCCCGCCATTTTTCATCTCAAAGTCGTGCAAGGCCTTGCCGAAGGTCTTCCTTCTCAGCGAGTACTTCCTGCAGCCGACAGCTCGGCCTTTCTGGGAGTGCAAACCCGGGACTTTCGAGCATACATCCGCGACCAGGAATAAGATTCACTGGGAAAGCGCATAACAAAGTGCGTTCCGCTTCGGCCGTCCTTTCATGGCCACACGAGAAGGGGACGAAACCTGTCGTTGCATCCCCCTGGTCAGAAAGAAGAAGCGGATCCCAGAGAAAGAATGGCCTCCCTTCCGAGTTGGAACTTCTTCGTCCGGTCTCCAACCCTATCTCGCCCTAAACAGCTAAACAGGGCAAGTTCGGCGTAAAAAAACGCCAGCACGGGCGAGTCATTCACCGATTGGAACAGGAATTCGGTGAGTGAACAATCTTGCTCTTGCCCTACAAATGGCGTTGCACACTGACGGCAATCATCGGAATCCAGACTAACTCTCCCTTCCCAGAGATTGACCCCCAGCCCAAAATGCGGCCGTGCCCAACGGGAGTCAGACCCAAAAACCCGTGGCTTCCCTTTGGCGAAAACTGTGCAAGGCCCAAAACACGGGGGGTTTCCCGTCGCCTAAACAAAACAAAAAACGACAGACCCCTCCCCCCCCCTTTCCCGGCCCCCCCCCCAACCAGCCGCCCTGCCCGCGGATCGCTCCCTCTCCGAGCCGCAGGGACTCGGAGTAGCAGAGCCGCGCGAAGCGGCAGGTGGACGCGGAGATCACGAAGCGCTCGTGGTTGAAGTTGTGGAGCAAATACATGAAGCCCTGGCCTCAGAACTGTCAGCTGTTTGGGTTTTATTGACCTGGTTCTTGGTCTTCCCCCCAAAAAAACACGTGTGCTTCTTTCTCTTCGGAGCTGCACCTGTTGCAGTGCTTTGGAAGACCCAACTTGCCAAGAATTAATTCCACTCGTCAAATCAGCCTTCCGTGACAGAAGCCGAAACCCATCCCCCGCCTTCTTGGCCGATGAGGTTCTGAGCCGGCACCTTGACGTCATCCAAGGTCAGGAAGGTGGTCCCGTGGCAGGTGTCGAACTGCATCGGCATCTTCCTGCCGAATTTCTCGCCCTTGGGCACCGATCCGTGGGCCTCAAATCAACCACCAAAACCCATTGGGGGGTCACCTGACCTGCACTCCAACCGCTCTGACCATCCCAAGAGCCCCGTTTTGACAAAATGCCATTGATCACAACTCCCAAAAGTGTTGCGAAAGGTGTCTGAGCATCTTCATGGAACCCTCAGGCGAAGCCATGCATCGCAGAAGAAAAAAAATGGCATTCGCGCAAAAGCTTGTCGTGCTAACACTGTGTGTTGAATCAAAACAGGAGTTCCCGCTTGGCCTCTCACATTGAAATTCGACGGAGCTAACATTTAGAAGCTGTGCGCATCCAGAAGGGTCTGCTTAATTGCCAAGAACATATCATCATACGCAGCATGCACAAGGATGCCTGCTTAGTTGAGTGATGATGCTCCCCACGTCATCAACAATAGCGAGGCATGTCTAAGCCAACTGAATCAACCAGCCTACAGGAACTGCAAGATGCGCATAGGCAAGCATGTACAAATAGGATCCAACTTGGATGCTTGTTGCGAGAAGGGCACGATTTGTTTAGTTCCTTGTCATAACCAAAAAGGAATGGTGACATATTCGTAGTGATGGTGACACTGCTGCAGGAAAGGCTCGAGAACGTGAGGCGTTGCTTTCTGAACAGAGTGCACACAAAGACCTTGAAAGGACATCGAGAGTCCCTTGTGCTGAACAGTCCGGGCGCCAAAGGATACCTCCACATACACGGTCATACACGTGACAAATAGGGCGTCCGTAAAATCACCTGACAGCCAAACCGATGTCCGTCCACAAACAATCCCAACAAACTGCCAGGGATCCAAATGAAGCCGACTCAGTTGGTCGGGGAGTCAGTTGGTCGGGGAGTAAATGATAGGCCTGGTCGCCCACGAGCCACAGCTTCGGTCTTGGCAAACCTGCTTTCGTTGGGACCAGGTTCAAAGCGACACTTCAAACGGCTTGGATTTAGAAAAAAACAGCTTTGACCCAACATCCTCATGTTTGTTCAGTTTGTCCTGAACGACGGTAACATGCCGGGGAGAAAAAAAAAAAACACCCCGACCCCAAAAAACAAGACGTCCAGCTCGGCTTCCCCGAAGCCTCACGTGCACCCCGGGCAGCTTGGCGTCCACCAGCAGCAGCGACACCCCCGAGGCGCCCCGGGCACCCGTGCGCACCGCCAGGGTGAAGAAGTCGGCCCTTGGCTGTGGGTCAAAAATAAGTACCCAAAATGGCACTCTGGTGAATGGAAACCATGACTAAAACCTGTGGTCCCCTGGTGGTTGAACTTTGACCCATACCCATTTGGCTGCGGGTCAAAACCCTGGTGCCCCCCCCCCCTACCCCCCTACCAATTCCCTTTCACAAAAACAAGCAACTGGATTTTGACCCACACACATTTGGGGCTCAGCGTTTTGGTGCAGACTTTTCGGGCTTTGCACCCTGGTGATCGGTTTTTGGGGTTGGCGGCTTTGTGCTTTGTTTTACACTTTTCGGGTTTGGCTTTGTTGGGGAGGTTTGCCTTGCTCGTGTTTGTCTTGGTGTTGCCTTCTTGGGCCTTCTGAGGTTGGACTTTATGGGGAAAAGGACATGAAAATCAGGGCTCCGTGCGCTTAAAGCAGAATCAAACTACTGAGGGTGACCTTTGGGGTTGGCTTCAAGGGACATTTTGGGGCCCCTTTGTTTCAAGAGCAACCCTACGTTCGCTGTTCCAACCCCCAACCTGCTTGTTTGACCTCCATCTTGCCTCCATGACTCTGTGTCTTCCTCTTCTCTCCCTTTCTCTTCCTCTTCCTTGCGCAAGGCGCATGTGGCCCCCGGTGATCCACTTCTTCTGCCCGTTCACCACGTAGACGTCGCCCTCCCGCGCCGCGGAGGTGCCGATGTTCGCCACGTCGGAGCCCGCCGTGGGCTCTGAGATGGCCAGGCTGATGTTCTTGCCTGGGGCGGCGAGGTTACTTGTTTTCGGGGGGGGGGGGGGGGCAGAAATTCTGATGGTGATTTTTTTGGGGCTCTTGGGGCCATCCCATTTTTTCATTTTTGGGGGCACCGGGGGGGAGGAAGGGGGGGGCGGCCCAAACCTCTCGGTGCGCTTTACAAGCGCTGGTTGATCGCGAGCAATGAGGATGTGTTTTACGGGTGGGGCGATTGGGTCAGCTTGTTCGTTCTTCGAGCCCACCCTGTCTTTTGGGGCCAAAAACAAATCAAAAACAAATCGGATGGCCGGGAAACCAAACAGTATGAAAATGTTTGTGCGCCCCGACCAACAATCAGTCAGCATAACCAAGAGGTGCAGAACAAATGCACGCCTGAAATGTCCAAGATTCGGCCACATCTGGGGCAAGCCATTTCAGGAAACCCTTAGTTGGTTTGGAATTGGATTTGAAGCCCTGGTTCTTGTAGAGGGATGGGACACCACCCCGGAACACCTCCAAACAGAAGGAAAACAATTATCCGACTGACAATGGGGTTTGGGCTCTCTGTGGACTCCCTCTGATCATGTGCCAACGAATTGTTACTCACTAAAACCACGTTTTGACACCACCGTTGCTCAAACAAATCTTCTGGGTGAATTATAATACTTCACCAACCTGAAATAAGGTGGTTGGGGGGGCTATTCCCCACATAAACCACCATTTGGGGAGAATTCGGTCGGGGTGAGGTCGTTATAATTCACCCAGAACCTTCTGTTGGCTTCCCTTGAAAAACGGCCAGCCGGATGGCCGGACGACTCAGGCGCATCCAGTGGGTTGCAAAGGTGATGGATGCGTGGCGTAGCTTTTCCCCCTCCGCCCAAGGCCCAAACGGACCTTGGCCCCTACTCTTTGACCTGACCAGTTCCGCTCTCGGAACTGGGCAAATTCTATACTTTTCTGTGGTCAAGCAGGAAATCCAACTGATATCCCCACTAACGTCGAGCATGAATTATACTTCCTTCCCTTTACCGTGGCCTTCTGGGAGCTTCCATGTGATGAGGGCGGGTAAATGAGACCCCCCCCCAGGGCTGGTATCCTCTTGGGGTCTCCTGATTATCATGGGAGGAACCCCCGAAACAACGAGTGTACGAGTTTAGAAAATCCCGACCTTCTGAATCCCCCAACTGAGCCAAACGACGTCCGGAGATCACCTCATCCACCACCTGGCGCTGCACCTGGCGAAACGAAGCCTTGGACACACCCATAAATCCATTTTTCAGATAGGCTCCGGGGTGGTTCGGGGCGACCCTGAGCTAAGGTTCCACCAGGGTTCCACCAGGGTGCCACCAGGGTTCAAGCAGGGTTCCACCAACGTTCCACCATCTGCGAGGGCTGCGGGGTGGTCCGGTGGTTGGAGGTAAGATTCCACGAGGTTGCACCAGGGTTCCCACCAGGGTTCCACCAATTTCTTCGAGGGGTGCGGCGTGAAAACTTCACAAGGGTTCCACGAGAATTCCACCAGGGTTCCACGGTTTGAGGTAAGGTTCTACAAGGGTTCCACCAGGTTCCACCAGGTAAGGTTCCATGAAGCTTTTAGCAGGGTTCTAGCAGGGTTCCACGAGGTTCTGCGAAGGTTCTATGCCACCTGCAAGGGCTGTGGGATGGTTCGGGGTGGCCCTGGGGTTTCACAGGGTTCCACAAAGTTCTGCAAGGATTCCACACGGGTCCACAATGTTCCACCAAGGGTTCCAGAAATGTTCTGCAAGGTTCCGTGGTTTGCCCTGGACAGAAGCAGTGTGTCGTGCGCCCGTCGTCTGAAAAGCCATCGGATCAAGATCGCTTTGCTCATGGGCGGAACACTAAGCAAAACCGAAATCAATGGTTTTTAGCACACTTTCACTGTTTTGTCACTTGATCACTTGCTCAGGCAACGCGGCCCGAAATGTTGGCTTTGTGGCAAATCAGATCACGTCGCTGCGGGACTCACGGTGCAGCAGAGTAAATGCTTGGCATTGCTGAGTGTATTACTTGGTGGGCTTTGAGTTCCAAGAATTCCACGAGGCTGCGAGGGCTATGGGGTAAGGTTCCAAAAACGCTCCACGAGGTTTCCACCAGGTTCTGCTGGGGCAGCCCTGCCACGAGGGTTCCAAGAGGACGGTTTGCGAGGTTCACACTGTCGGGGCCCGACCGGCCCCGATTGCGCCATCGCGCCCGATCGGTCAACTGTACCGAGCTGGCATCGCCTTGCTATAGATACAGTTGTACTGCCGCATGCTAAGGAAAATAATATGGGTGGCTGGGGCTGCGCCGTGGGATTCTTTCTGTTGAGGAAACACGCTTCCAAAGCGCGCGCCCTCACCGGCCTCCATCCCCTGCGCACCCCCACAGTTATAGATACAAGAAAGGCCAACTGCTAACGACGAACTACACATGGGTAACACATTGGTAGCACTGAAGTTGGTACCACATGGGGGTTGATTAATATACCCTTCCGCCCCCAAATGACCATGAGTAACCTGCCCCCAGAATATGTGGTTGAAATATCATCATCCTTTTAGCGGTTTCCCCCAATTGTCATCCCATGTATCACAGACCTTTTGATCAACCCCGATATCCCCGCAGGATTTCGGGGCCACAAAAAGAAAAACATCAACGCCCACATTGGTAACATTTTGGGAGCAAAGAAAATTGGTATGTGCCACCTAGGGGTACCTTTTGATCAACCCCCGCATCCACAAACGAAGAAAACAAAACAAACAAAAAACAAATCAGAAGGAGAAAAAAAGAAAAACAAGAAAGAAACAAAAAAACAAACCCTCAAACCCCTCAAACCCCTCAAACCCCTCAAACCCCTCAAACCCCTCAATCCCCTCGCCTCCGCAGTCCCGGCGAAGAGCACCGGCGGCAGCGCCATGGAGTTGATGCCACACTGCCCCAGCGCGCCTCTCGAAGGAGAGCCCAGCGAAACCAACGTTTGGCTTTTGTGGGGAGGGCCCGACGTTTTTGCTTGACCCGCAACCCGGTGTGTTTTGACCCGCAACCGGTTGTTTGTTGACCCCCAACCTGTTTTTGTTGACCCACAACCTGTTTTTGTTGACCCCCAACCTGTTTTTGTTGACCCCCAACCTGTTGTTTGTTGACCCCCAACCCGTTTTTGTTGACCCGCAACCGGTTGTTTGTTGACCCCCAACCTGTTTTTGTTGACCCACAACCTGTTTTTGTTGACCCCCAACCTGTTTTTGTTGACCCCCAACCTGTTGTTTGTTGCCCGTTTTTGTTGACCCGCAACCGGTTGTTTGTTGACCCCCAACCTGTTTTTGTTGACCCACAACCTGTTTTTGTTGACCCCCAACCTGTCTTTGTTGACCCCCAACCTGTTGTTTGTTGACCCCCAACCCGTTTTTGTTGACCCGCAACCGGTTGTTTGTTGACCCCCAACCTGTTTTTGTTGACCCACAACCTGTTTTTGTTGACCCCCAACCTGTTTTTGTTGACCCCCAACCTGTTGTTTGTTGACCCCCAACCCGTTTTGTTGACCCCCAACCCGTTTTTGTTGACCCGCAACCGGTTGTTTGTTGACCCCCAACCTGTTTTTGTTGACCCACAACCTGTTTTTGTTGACCCCCAACCTGTTTTTGTTGACCCCCAACCCGTTGTTTGTTGACCCCCAACCCGTTTTTGTTGACCCCCAACCCGTTGTGTTTTGACCCGCAACCTGTTGTTTGTTGACCCGCAACCTGTTTTTGTTGACCCCCAACCTGTTTTTGTTGACCCCCAACCTGTTGTTTGTTGACCCCCAACCCGTTTTTGTTGACCCGCAACCGGTTGTTTGTTGACCCCCAACCTGTTTTTGTTGACCCACAACCTGTTTTTGTTGACCCCCAACCTGTTTTTGTTGACCCCCAACCTGTTGCTTGTTGACCCCCAACCCGTTTTTGTTGACCCCCAACCCGATTTTGTTGACCCCCAACCTGTTGTTTGTTGACCCCCAACCCGTTTTTGTTGACCCCCAACCGGTTTTTGTTGACCCCCAACCCGTTGTGTTTTGACCCGCAACCTGTTGTTTTTTGACCCCCAACCGGTTTTGTTTGACCCAAACCGGCTTTTGTTGATCCCCAACCTGTTGTGTTTTGACCCCCAACCGGTTGTTTGTTGACCCCCAACCTGTTGTTTGTTGACCCCCAACCGGTTGTTTGTTGACCCCCAACCTGTTGTTTGTTGACCCCCAACCTGTTGTTTGTTTGACCCCCAACCGGTTGTTTGTTGACCCCCAACCGGTTTTTATTGCCCCCCAACCGGTTTTTGTTGACCCCCAACCTGTTTTTGTTGACCCCCAACCTGTTGTTTGTTGACCCCCAACCCGTTTTTGTTGACCCCCAACCGGTTTTTGTTGACCCCCAACCTGTTGTTTGTTGACCCCCAACCCGTTTTTGTCGACCCCCAACCGGTTTTTGTTGACCCCCAACCCGTTGTGTTTTGACCCGCAACCTGTTGTTTGTTGACCCCCAACCGGTTTTGTTTGACCCCAACCGGCTTTTGTTGACCCCCAACCTGTTGTGTTTTGACCCCCAACCGGTTGTTTGTTGACCCCCAACCTGTTGTTTGTTGACCCCCAACCTGCTTTTTGACCCCCAACCGGTTTTTGTTGACCCCCAACCGGTTTTTGTTGACCCCCAACCGGTTGTTTGTTGACCCCCAACCTGTTGTTTGTTGACCCCCAACCGGTTGTTTGTTGACCCCCAACCTGTTGTTTGTTGACCCCCAACCACCCCCCAACCCCCCCAACCGGTTGACCCCCAACCCAACCGGTTGTTTGTTGACCCCAACCTGTTGTTTGTTGACCCCCAACCGGTTGTTTGTTGACCTGTTGTTTGTTGACCCCCAACCGGTTGTTTGTTGACCCCAACCTGTTGTTTGTTGACCCCCAACCGGTTGTTTGTTGACCCCCAACCTGTTGTTTGTTGACCCCCAACCGGTTGTTTGTTGACCCCCAACCTGTTTGTTGTTTGTTTGTTGACCCCCAACCTGTTGTTTGTTGACCCCCAACCGGTTTTTGTTGACCCCCAACCTGTTGTTTGTTGACCCCCAACCGGTTTTTGTTGACCCCCAACCTGTTTTGTTTGACCCCCAACCGGTTTTTGTTGACCCCCAACCGGTTTTTGTTGACCCCCAACCGGTTTTGTTTGACCCCCAACCGGTTTTTGTTGACCCCCAACCGGTTTTGTTTGACCCCCAACCGGTTTTGTTTGACCCCCAACCGGTTTTTGTTGACCCCCAACCGGTTTTGTTTGACCTCCAACCGATTTTTGTTGACCCCCAACCGGTTTTGTTTGACCCCCAACCGGTTTTTGTTGACCCCCAACCGGTTTTGTTTGACCCCCAACCTATTTTTGTTGACCCCCAACCGGTTTTTGTTGACCCCCAACCGGTTTTGTTTGACCCCCAACCGGTTTTTGTTGACCCCCAACCGGTTTTTGTTGACCCCCAACCGGTTTTTGTTCACCCCCAACCGGTTTTTGTTGACCCCCAACCGGTTTTTGTTGACCCCCCAACCTGTTGTTTGTTGACCCCCAACCGGCTTTTGTTGACCCCCAACCGGATTTTATTGCCCCCCAACCGGTTTTTGTTTACCCCCAACCTGTTGTTTGTTGACCCCCAACCTGTTGTTTGTTGACCCCCAACCGGTTGTTTGTTGACCCCCAACCGGTTTTTATTGCCCCCCAACCGGTTTTTGTTGACCCCCAACCGGTTTTCGTTGACCCCCAACCGGTTTTTGTTGACCCCCAACCGGTTTTTGTTGACCCTCAACCTGTTGTTTGTTGACCCCAAACCGGTTTTTGTTGACCCCCAACCGGTTTTTGTTGACCCCCAACCGGTTTTTGTTGACCCCCAACCTGTTGTTTGTTGACCCCCCAAGCTGTTTTTGTTAACCCCCAACCTGGTTTTTGACCCCCAACCTGCTTTTTGACCCCCAACCGGTTTTTGTTGACCCCCAACCTGTTGTGTTTGACCCCCAACCTACTTTTTGACCCCCAACCGGTTTTTGTTGACCCCCAACCTGTTGTGTTTGACCCCCAACCTGCTTTTTGTTGACCCCCAACCTGTTGTGTTTGACCCCCAACCTGTTTTTGTTGACCCCCAACCGGTTTTGTTTGACCCCAACCGGTTTTTGTTGACCCCCAACCTGTTTTGTTTGACCCCCAACCTGCTTTTTGTTGACCCCCAACCTGCTTTTTGACCCCCAACCGGTTTTTGTTGACCCCAACCTGTTGTGTTTGACCCCCAACCTGCTTTTTGACCCCCAACCGGTTTTGTTGACCCCCAACCTGCTGTGTTTGACCCCCAACCGGTGTTTGTTGACCCCCAACCTGTTGTGTTTGACCCCCAACCTGCTTTTTGTTGACCCCCAACCTGCTTTTTGTTGACCCCCAACCTGGTTTTTGACCCCCAACCTGTTGTTTGTTGACCCCCAACCTGTTTTGTTTGACCCCCAACCTGCTTTTTGTTGACCCCCAACCTGCTTTTTGACCCCCAACCGGGTTTTTGTTGACCCCCAACCTGTTGTGTTTGACCCCCAACCTGCTTTTTGACCCCCAACCGGTTTTTGTTGACCCCCAACCTGTTGTTTGTTGACCCCCAACCGGTTTTTGTTGACCCCCAACCTGCTTTTTGACCCCCAACCTGTTGTTTGTTGACCCCCAACCTGTTGTTTGTTGACCCCCAACCGGTTGTTTGTTGACCCCCAACCTGCTTTTTGTTGACCCCCAACCTGCTTTTTGACCCCCAACCGGTTTTTGTTGACCGTGTTTGACCCCCAACCTGCTTTTTGACCCCCAACCGGTTTTTGTTGACCCCCAACCTGTTGTGTTTGACCCCCAACCTGCTTTTTGACCCCCAAGTTTTTTGGACCCAGAAACCAAAAGGCAAAATGGAGGTGGAACAACAGACTTGGGCTTGGAAGAACAGGGTCCCCTTTGTGGGGGTGAGCGGGAGTCGCTCGCCTTTGGTCCTCTAGGGTTCCAAAACAGTTTGCACACACACACACACACACACACATCACGCCGACAGGAAAGGCACTCTCAATTGGCCCAAAAACGGTACGCTGTTCTACCGGAGCCCTCATAGTCGATCTGCTATGTGGCAAGAGGAATCACAGTATCCTGAGCACCTTCGAAAGAAGCTTTCCCTGAAGAAAGCACAAGTTCCCAGCGAGCAGCAAACCCACCCCAGCAAAAGCACCCAGCCTACCTAACCTACTCAACATACCTAACCTCTCACAATTCCCGGAACATAACCTACCTGACATACCTGACATGCCGAACCCCTCTGACCACTCCGAGCAAGAATTCCCCGCATCCCGTCTTCCCTCTTGGGCCTCCCGGCCCCACCGCCGCCAGCTCGTCGAGGTAGATGAGCTCGTGGAGCGCGTCGAGGCCGCCCTCCGGCAACACCTCCGCGGGATATCTGCGCTGCACGTCCTCGAGCCGAGGTCTCGGATCGTCTCGATCCGCGGGACTCGAGCCGAGGATTTTTTCTTTGGGCCGAAAGTGGTTTGGTACGCAGCAAATAGGATGGTCAGAGTCGGTGTCGTGACTTTGGAGACAGGCAAGGCTGGGTGTCTAGGGTTGGGCTTGGCGCATACTTGCATGTCTAAACCTCTGGTCAAGCACAACCTTCCTTTGGGCTTCCCTTTTGAAGGGACGGGTCTTGCGAAATGGCACTGGCCTGTTCTTGCATGGAAGTTCGTCCCGAGTGTGCGGGACCGAGCTCACAAGTCTCTGGCCCAGTCAACACAGGCAGCCAAGGCAACATCTCCGTCGTCACCGTCACCCGGGACCTGAAACCATGGTCACACGTCCTGACCCATGCTGACAACATCTGACAACCAACTTACTGCCAACCATGGAACCCAAAATGACCCAAAATGACAAGAGGCGCCTCCTTCCTTCCGCGCGTTTCCAAGAAGTGGCTCGAACGAAGCCCCCGAGCCCGAGAGCCCGGGGGCCTCCCAACCCGAGCCCGTCCTTTTGCAGGCCAGCAGTCGGCAGGCCTCGCGCCAGGGCCTTCCCGTGAAGCTCCAGCGGGTAGCTCACCCCGCCCGAGATCCACCCCTCGCGACAGCGGCCCGAGAGAGAAATTTCTGCAATGGAGATGTGTGTGGCTTGGCGTGGAAATGATGCAACGGAAAGAAAACTATAGTTGTTGGTAGTCATAAACACATATGTTGCTTGTCTCCCTGGGATGTACCACTCAAGCTGGCGACAAGGCGAGTCTTCCGAAGCGGCCCAAGCGGCCCAAGCGCTTGGCCCGCCCCCCCCCCACCCTTCCCCCCGGCTGCCTCCAAGTAGGGCCGCACCTCCTCCTCCACAAAGTCCCGGCACTTCTTGCGGAAGGCCACGTGGGAGGGCCCGTAGTAGGCGGAGTGGTAGCCTCCGACAGAGCGCAAACCACCGCGCATCGCCACGTCCGAGCTTCGTGACAAGCTGAGCGCGCCCTTCGCTCCACCAAAGCATTTGATGCAAACACACATAGCTCTCTTTGTTTTGGGGAGTGTGGCTTTCTGCACTGGAAGTCAGTTCTCGGCGCGGAACAATGTCAGGTTCAGAGACCTTGTGATTGTGCCCTTGTCTTCGTGAGAAACTGAATGCAACCATGAGTGATGAAGAAGGTGTAGGTGCTAAGTTCACTCAAACTCTTGTCGGTAAGGCGCGGAAAAAACGCCAAAGAACAAGTGCTACCCGGACTCGTCCACGAAATGTCCGAGCAGCTGCTGGTTGAAAGATCAAGGGAAAGAAGGTGTTTTCTGCGTCGGGCTAGCCACCTCTGCATCACGTAAATACTGATGTGGGTTGCCATGAAGATCTGGCGCTGAAGCTTACCAAAAGCAAGTAAAGAAGGAAAAGCTCTGTTGTGGGAACCTCGCCCGCCTCCCTTTCGCGCAACCAACCTTGGTCCACTGCTTCATTGCGTTTCGCGCCTTGGTACCAGTAGGGCTCGCAGCCCGGCGTCTGATCCCCGAAGGGCTGCAAAGCCATTGCAGGAAAGGCGAGCGTAAGAAAGATGCTTGCGCGGGGCTGTGGGACTCAAGATCCGGTGAGAATACTCCGCAAATTGGTCGCTGGCAGCAGGTCGCATCTATCTCGCTTGTGGGGGTTAGCTAAGTCTTGCTCAGGGAGAATTCACAGACCGCAATGGTTGACCTTCAAAGGGAAAATCTCGGGATGGACGTCGAAGGTCCTGGGATCTGGAAAGCAGTTGCCGTGTGTAAGAGACAATACATCTATGAGCCAAAGCAGCTGCAAAAATGCTTCGGACTTCCTTGGAACACAGGCTGTTTTGAATCCATTTCGCGTCTCAAAACTCCACGGACCATTCGGAACCCCCAGCATTGGCGCCCCCAGTTCTCACCTGGCAAGCTGCACTCTCCAAACCAGAAAATGGGTGCAAATCCCCCAAAAAAGACACCAATCTCGACCGCCAAGTTGGGGTTACCTGGTCCGTTCCCCGAGTCATAATCAAGCCCGGTACTAAACATGGTCTACCCAGAACCATCTAAAGAATGAAGAAGGCGGATATCCGCCATTTCTGCTTGGGCTTGTCCCTTAACCTTCATCAATGCCCCGGGTTTTGAGCACGGGGCTCACCTGAGACCGCAGATCGCTCACCCCCCGAGCTCGGGCGCCTCCCGGCGCAGCTCCGCAGGCCCGCCACCGCGCTGGCCTCCAGCAGGACCTGCGGCGATCGGCGATCGGCGATCGGCGATCGGCCCGCGGAGGACGCGGAAGACGCGGAGCTTCGGCCTTCGGCGGCCTTCGAATTGGATGGCTTAACCCATTTACCCACAAGAGCGATTAACCCATTTACCCACAAGAGCCAGGGTCAAATCTCCAAACCAAACCAATCCAAACCACCTGTTAGGGGTTGCCGGAGCGGCTTTTTTTTCGGCTTCCATTAGAATTGAAATGCGCCAATCTTGGGAAAACACAGGCCGTGAGACCGACATCCAATCGGAAAACACACCCCGCGGCTGCCCTGGCAAAAGCAAACTGCTTTTTTCATCAGTTTCCCGGCTTGGCGTGCATGGTGCGACGTCTATGTTTGGGAGGCGAAACGTTTTTGCCCTCGAGCCTGCATTTGAAAACAAGCCCCTCATGCCGCATCTATGAAGTTCATTCGCTAATACCACAGAGTCCTCTAGCAAATCGCAACAAACATCCCACCTTTCCGGCTTCTTCCTCAACGCATAGATCCAGAAAGACCAGCGAGCGCTCAAAACCCATCGGCAGTTGGTCCTACCCAAATGCTTGCAGAACTTTGACATTGGCCGGCACTATAATCCCTGCAAAACTGAAGAAGGCCGAGTTCGAACTCAACAGAGGCGCCCCCCGCTGGTCCCTTGTCGCCTCATGGTTGTAGACCCAGGGTGTCCACTTCGGCGTCTCGTCGAAGATCGCCGAGCGCAGCGACATCTGGTCCTCGCCCCAACTTTTGACGGGGAGCTCGGAGGCACTAGCCAGCCACCCTGTTGTGTTGTTTGGCAAAGCGGCTCCGGCCAACCATCTCAACTAGCTGGTGCCTGGAAACCTTGTTGTGTGATCAAAAGTCCATCCTCTGCTCATTTGCTCCTCCCTGACAGCCAGCCAGACAACCAGTCGCGCTGGCATTGGGTGGCCAAAAACGAAAGGCGCACAAACACCCCCACCCTCCAGCAACCCTTCCACACGACCCCCCCCCTCCCCCCGCCCGTCCGGGTGGCTCCAGCCAGGCTGGCAGTCCAGAGCCGCAAAGAGCCGGGACTCCAAAGCCTCCGATCTCCCGGGGATGCGGAGCTTGGGGAAACCTGGAGGCTCGGGTTTTGGGTGACCTGGATGCACCATGGCCCTTTGAGATCCAACGATGCTTTTTTGCTGGTCTCTTGTTGCTGCAGTTGGTACCCTTGCTTGGTGGTTGATGTTGCCGTCGCTGTCATGACCGGCCTGGCTGGTGTGTTGGTTGTCCAAAACGAGGCCTGCCTTGGTTCCTGGTCTCTCTCAGATTCGCTCTGGGTCTATCTTGCTGTTCTTTAGAACCAGAACTGGCTCCAACCTATACACAAACCCACCCACCCCACCCCCCCACAGCCCAGAACCGGCGACCCAAAGAAACGCCTGGAAGGCCGCTCCGTTGGGCAGGGGCAGGAGGGAGGCTTGGCACCTGGGAGTTGGGGGGCCTGGGCTAGGCTGGAAACCCAAAAGCACAACAGGAATTGGGAGGTCCCCAAAATCTGATTTAATTCATTGGGATCCCAAAATGACAGCCGCTTTAGGCTTGCTTCGAAGGAACCCTGCAAGTAGGAGGTTTGCCTCTTGGGATCGCTTTACAGCAAACCAAGAAAGGAGGGAAACCAGGGAGCTCCATGTCCTTCCGCCCATTTCAAGCCCCCCCCCCCCCCCCGCTGGGCATCCGCACACGCCCGAGCCTCAGCGCCCAGTGAAAGATCACTTCCCGCAGACGTCCGGAAGCGGACCATCCTTTTCAAGAGGACCAAATTTGTTTTCACCCCTCTCCTCCACGATTGAAAGAGGTCTCCTGAAATGGGAACATGCCCAAACAAAAATGGGGGGTCCCAAAAAAAGTTGGAACTTGAAGTTCCCTTGGGACCAGCCTTTGGGGCAACTCTGGATCTCTCAGTGCTCAAGCTATGAACATGGTTGCTCGACTGCCGCCAAGCTGCCCTTGCCTGCGGCTGCCTGTCCAGTGGAAGGCTGTAAGTCCCATGAGGCAAACACGAATCACGGAGCCTTTGCTTTGGACAGTACCACGGGAGCTCCGACTCTTTGAACTCAGAGCCATCTCTCCCGCTCACTTCGCAAGCATGTTTCTTGGAACCAAGTGGGCATCGCCCCCTTCCGCACCTCCTCTTGCACGTAGAGGGCCGAGAAATCCTGGCAGGCAAGAGGGATCATGTCGCGTTGTGGGTTGGGGCTTAGTGGGGTTCAGCTTCAATCTCTGAACACTATGATACTCAAAGAGCGCTCTCAAAATGACCCTCTTTTGGTTGTTTTGAGAGGGAAAGCACTAGGCGGCAATGGCGGGGCTCGATGTAGATATACTAACCAGATCACCCATCCCCTATTTTTCTGGAAGCACCCTGGATCCTGGCAAAGCACCCGGCAAGTGAGGGATTGCCTCTGCGTGCCCCCCAAGTGGGAGATACTTGGAAGCCTGATGAAAATCCTCGCTTGCTCCCAGACCGCTTAGCAAAAGGTCTAAGTAACCCTCTGTAGGTTTAATGGAAAACCCGTTTGTTTCCAAAAGGTAAAAGGGGCCTTTAAGGTCACACCAAGCTTTGATCTGTTCGGAGTCTATGCGACCATCCGTCCTTTGCCTGACAGGCCTGTTGGCAAAACGCGTCATCCATCAACATCCAGCAACTCTCCTTAGAACGTAGCTCTGCCCGGCCTCTCTGCAAAGCACGCTACATTGCTCTGACTCCCCTCTATCCTGCGACTTCAGGCGTCAAAAGCATAAGTATTTTGCCATCCGCTGGCTCTAAAACCAAGACGAAACTCTCCCCTCCTGCACCAGCGGCACTCCGCAGAAGCCGTCGGACCAGGCGTGGGACACTATGAACTGCAGAAAGCTGGTAGGCCCGCGCCAGTCCTTTCCAAGCGGAGAGAGTCACCCCTCTCGTGCCCTTACTCCAATGATGACAGCTCACAGCAGGGTTTTGGAGGACTACTTTCCTTCTGGGGAAGCCCCCTGTCCACTTCTGTGATTGTTGGAAAGAGGGCAAAGAAAGCCAAGGATTTTTCCGCTGGACTGGGACACCGAGACACCCTGTCTCAGCAACCAGGGGCTTTATGAGCCTGGGCTCCCACTAGCTTGCAGGGAGATGAACCCAAAGATGTGTGCGTAAGGCTGTCGCAAAAGCCATAAGCTATGGTGGTCCATGGCTTGCCAACTTCCGGCAAAACGCCAGGCTGGGCGAGACTTTGGTTGAAGGAAATGTACCCAAACCCGCTTTTGTGGAAGGATTCTAATGCGGTGGATGTTGGGATTCGTCCGCGAATACCGGAAAAATTAAGAAGAAGAAACGTGTTTGGAATGCGAATAGAGTGATTTGGATTTCTGAACCCGGTTTGAGATTTGATTCCCGAACCTCGAAATGCAACAACCAAAGCCGTTCACGGGTTTTGCAGGCAGGGGATTTTGTTTCCCACCCAAAAGCCGGATTCAGGCATCACTCGCAAAACTGCCCCTAAGGCCTAGTTCAGTCTTCTGTTTGGGGGAGGGGAAGCCGCTCCGCCGGGTGGGGAGGGGGTGGGGTGAGGGGTGTCAGGGGATCTGTCGCGCGCCTCCGGGCGCTCCCAGGTACTCATCGACTTCTCCTCGCGCCCGCGCTCCAGCAGGAAGAGGGCGATGGCCACAGGCGACCGCCACTCCTCCACTCCGACCCCAGAGTCGTGAGCGGCCGTGGGGGGCAGTGAAGTCTTTCCATGACAGCCTGTGATAGATTTTGCCAGAAACAGGCCGGCTCCCAGCGCCTCCCACCACCAGCCCCCCCCCACCCCCCAGCCATCCCTGGCCTCCCTCAGCCGCGAGTACGCCAGCTCCAAGTCCCGCCAGCTCTTGCAGCGCACCACCAGCACGCGCTCCTCCAGGAACCTCCGTCCAAGGTCAGTTGGCGGAACTTGCGCCGCAGAAAGCCGTCGGTTTCTGTTTCTCCTTTTGGGGCTTGGCAAACTGGCGTCGCTCACTTGGCGCCCAGACTGGGCGCAATTCCAAGTCGCGCTGCTTGAAAAGCACTTCAGCATGGGTAAGTCTCGCAGGAAAAGTGACCGGAATGGCACGCGTAAGGGAGAGGAACCTCCTGAAACAGCCGAGCCAACACCATCCACCAATATTCTTGTCTATTCCAATTTGAGCGTGTCTCACCCTCATTCCACTTCTTTGGGCCCAAAAAGACACACTTCGCACTTCCCGAGCCGAAGCGAGCGCCGAAGCCCAAGGCGCTGCCGCGTCACGGGCCGCGGGTGGCTCCGCGGCCAGCTGTGCTTCAGGCCCCAGGCGCAGAGCTCCTTGCCTCGGACGCCCCGCGCCAAAACCGAGCCTTGGCCCTGCGCGAAAAAAAGCGAGGGCTCGGTGGGCGGGGTTTTACCTGTGACGTGCCGTTGACAAAACTTGGTGTGGATTCCTTTGACAGGGACTTGACTGGTCAGATCTAATTGCGCTGTCGGTTGACGCAAACAAAAAGGTCTGGCTTTCGCTCGTGGTGCTGTTGTCGGTTGCAAACAATGGGGTGGATTTGTCGTTGACAACAACTTCACTTCTCAGATCGGGTCGGAGTTGCTGCAATCGTTTTCGATTTTGTTTGACGACTCGTTGTGGGCATTTGAAAAACCAGCGACATCTCAACGTGGGTCACTTTGAATGGGACTTGGCCGCCAATCGTTTTGGTGGGCGCTTGAGAAAGCGGCATCGTATCTAGAATTTGCCAGGGTTCACCAGAGTGGATATAGGGCGATCTTTCGGTACTTTCCTGTAGTTGGCTTTCTGGATACGTTTAGCAGGAGTTTCGACTCGGCAAAACAGAGCTTAGGGCGGTGAAAACCAACAGATTTGCGGCTTCCATGGTTGACTAATAGTGAGAAGGTGCAGTTTTGGAGGGCATGCTTTGTGGGGACCAACACCTATTCATCCGGCAGGTTGATTTTTCCAGGGTCAATGCTAAAAATTGGCTGCCGCCTACCTTCCCTCCAAAACCCCCAAACCACGACACGGGTCGCTCGGAAAATGAGGGGACAGCATGGAGGGCGCCTGAAGAGAAACTCAACAGGAACCAACAGCTCAGCCCCCCAAGCCCTTGACCCACCCTCGTCCGCTCCATCTCCACTCTCCTAGGTCCTCCAGACTCCAGTAGAGAGCTTAGAATAAGTTGGTACCCCTTTTTTCCTGTCGATTTGTGTAGGGGACCCCAAAACCCCCCAAGAAAGAAACGGTGAGAAAGGTGGCGCCGTTTTCGCTGGGGGAAGCCTCGTCCCTCGACTCGGAGCCGCGGCGCAGGCGCGCAGCGGCCGCGCCAGGCCCAGCTTCCGCGCCCTCGGCTCCAGCTGCGGCCACAGCGGCGCGTGCAGCGCCGGGACGTCCCGCAGGAAGCGGAGCATCTGGCGCACGCCACCGGGGGAGGGGGAGCCTGGGGAGCCATGGGAGCCATGGGGGGGCCCCGGGTGAGTTGCCATCAAAGCTCAGGGGAGTCAAAACCTGACTGCCAGGGGCGGGATATTCCGTTTACGGTTGGGACTTGCTACCCTGGTGGTTGGAAGAGTCAAACTGAACTACCCAAAGCTTTTTCCAGGCTCATTCCTGCAAACGTTGAAACCCAAGCAAGGTGTCAAGACCTCTGAATGTTGACATCAGCTCACGTAGCAGAGAAGAATGGCAAGCAGCTTCCTTTGCATGGACAGATTTCTGCCCAGAAAACCTCCAGTTGGTGGTTCATCACCTTTCTGGCCCATGAGTGAGTTCCCTTGAGGCGACGTTCTTCTTGATTGGAAACACGGGTTCCGCCTTTTTTTTGCAGGTATCCTTTTTTGTGAGTTGGATACAAAGGCAAACCAAGGGAAAAAAACTATTTCAAAGACCTGCCCTCTCACCAATGTCCATGACAGGCACCCCGGTTGAAAGGAACACTTTGAAGGTCAGGTGCCACGTGATCCGGAAAAAATGCAAAAACCGGCCGCCCAGCGCCCAAGACACGCACCGCGCGAAGCCGCGGCGCCCAAAAACGGCGGCGCCTCCATGCCCACAGGACCCAGCTCCGCCCTGAGGCCCTCGTGGCGCCCCAGCAGCCGCGCGCAGGCGCGCCGGAAGCAGCCCTCCTTGCACCCACGGCGCGGGGATGGGTTCCAGGGAAATGTGCCGCGGTGTTGTAGGGGGATACCCTTTGGTTCGGATTTCCCGATGAAAACATGTGACGAACAAGCGCAGAAGGTCTGGAAGATGAATCAGGAAAACCCGCACCAGGAGAGGGGAAAGCGAAATTCGAACGTGGGAAGAACCTGGGAAAAAGGACGATCCTGCTTGCAGAAAGAAGAGGAGCCTGTAAACGTGGAAGGAAGCCAATTCTTTGAAAGGGAAGGAAACCGCAAAAGAGCACCTTCTGAAACAAAAGGATTCTGCTAGTCATCGGCCCTTTTGGTGAGTCTAGCTGCGGATCTCTACAGAGATATCTGTGTGAATTACCGGAAGAAACCTGTACTATTTCTACTATTTCTGCCAAACCAAAGTGCATAGCTCCCGCCGTTTCACCAAGGCTCATCCAGCAGGCCCTTGCAACCGTAGAGCCACTTGCAGGTGTTGTTCACCTGCGCACAGCGATTCAACCTCCAACATGCATGGCCCATGGGTCATAGCCTATGCCTCCATTTTGGGGCGGATGAGCACCCATGTAGCACCTATATTGATGTTCACCAGGGGTAGAGGGTTTTGACCCACAGCCAAGTGGGCCCCTCAGCCGAGTCCGCCCTGATCCCTTTCAGACCGCGGTCCCCCACCTGGCCCGGAGTGAACCAAACCGCCCGGCTCTCTCCAGGGCCATAGCTGGGCGCGGGAAGGTCATCTGCGGCGTCCAAGGGGCAGCCCTCCACCAGCGTCAGAAGCTCCCCCAAGGTGTCGCACTGGAAGACGTCCTGAAGCATACTTTGATGGAGGCACTTGGGTCAGGAAACACGGGCGTTTATCAAAATCAGAAAACCAGTCAATTCCAATAGCTGCAAAAAGGCTTGTGTCGAGCCACCCCTGGAAGAGGGTGTTTTCTGCTTGGGGTCCACATTCCTAATGCCATACCAACAGGTCATGTTCACAACTTTCCAAGGGTGGGAATATGAAATTGCCAAACTTCCGCCCACTCCCCCCACTCCCCTCACTCCTCCTGCAACCGGCGCACCCCAACCAAAGCTCCCCCCCCCCCCGCGCAGGCAGCCTGGGGCCGCAGTCGCAGCCCGGGCACCGCAAGGCGCAGCTGGCGGCAGAGCGTCAGCACCGCCAAGCTGTCCACGCCGCTGAGCCGCGCCTCGCTGAGCCTCAGACTCGGCTCGAAGCGAGGGACGGACGGGGCGGCGAAAGGGCGCCACCGTGGCCGGGGTGAGTGGGGGGCTGGGGGGGAGGCCCCATTGGCCTCACCGGGCAAAAGGAAAGTTGCGAAGTGGACAGGAGTTGGAAGGTTGAAGAGAAGTTGGGAAGGGAAACCTCTTTCCAATGTTGATTCTGGCTGCAAGGGTATCCCCAAAATCATTGGTTGTCCCACCGTGGGTTGGTGGTGGTGCACTGCCGTCCTCCACGCCCCTTCCGGAAAAAAGTCAACCGGGTAGGAGAACTTGATTCCAATGCCTCGGCTTCCCACCCCCCGGCCCCTTTGCCAATTTGCCCCCATTGGGCCACGGCGCCGTGGCTGCTGCCTGGGCAGCCACCGCAGCAGCTCCTGCCCCGCCAAGGTCCGCGGCCGCAGATCGCACTCACTGCTCCCTTCGCCGCTTGCGTCGGCCTCAGCTTCGTCGGCCTCGGCAAAGGGCAGCGGGCAGCGCCCAGCTCACCCGGTCTTGCTTGGCTTCCAGCACCCTCCGTTTCTCCGGTGCCACGGTTCACAAGAGCGTCCTATGCCAACTGCTGCCTTCATCATGGCTTGGCCACGCGCTTGTGGAGGCTTCTCCAAATAGGGGCGAACAAAGTGTTACCAAACACAAGGGGGAGAGCCATTCTGAGAAACCACCCGATTTCCACCCAGGCGAAAAGATGTTGGCAAAGAGATTCACACGCATTGCCAAACTGAGGCTCAAGCCAAAGTCTGACGAAAGGGGAAGCCCTTGAAGGAGAACCACAACTAGGTCCTCCAGTAGAGAGCTTAGAACAAGGGTACCCTTTTTCTGTAGTCTATGTTAGTAGGGGGACCCTCCCCTAAAAAAGAAACGGTAAAAGGGCACCTAGCTGGACCTAGACAAAACCCGGGGCCCCGGGCGGCCACCTCCAGCTCCACCACGTCGCGGGTGTGGAAATCCCACCACCGGTCATCAAAGCCCTTGTGGCAGGACCGGCCTCAGCCGACTGGTGCTCAGGCCAGCTTCAGTCATGTTGGGGTAGCCCGGGCCCCCCAGCGTCACCAAGGTCATCCATGAGTCATGCTGGGCGTACTAAGACTCAGTAAGCCCTAGTAAGCCTTGGTAAGGCTTCTGCTCAATATGGAGCCTGCATCTCTTTGAGTGTTGCCGAGCAGCTGGAACCCTATGATTTCCCTTGCTGTGATCTGCTCAGAGCTGCTGTGCTGTAACACGCACATTGCACAATAGTGGATGTAAACCCAGCACTCAGGCGCTCAGCAGCACTCAACCACCCAACAGAGCACATGGGTGTGGCTCGAAAATAGGGAAACCCCAAAACGGGTGGTGGTAAATGGAAACAAGGACTAGAACCTGCGGTCCATATCCTGGTGCTTTAATTTTGACCCTACCCACATGTCGGGGTTTTAGCCTGAAGCAGCAAGGCCAGACAGGCATCACGAAACACCCTGAAGCAGCAGAGATTATCCATAAACACCTTAACGAAACACCCATGCCTTCAAACTCTTAGAGAGGCTACCATGCCCGATCCTGATCAACAAACAAAACCGCAAGCCCCCCCCCCCTTCCGCCGCTGCATGCAGAGGGTTTCCCCATTGCTGGCGAGGCGCAGTAGAAGAGCTCGGCCTCCTGGCGCCAGTCGCTGCCCCAAGGTAGGGGCACTCGACACTCCTCACCTCGGAAGGATCCCGGGTCGCTGGGACATATGCGGTCGTTGGTGGGTACCCTTGGGCTCTGAACGAAAAATTACGGGGAAACCAAAGGGACAACCAAGGGAAACTGGTCGTTGTCCCGTTTTGGCAGGGAAACCAAAGGGACAGCCACACACAACTTCGCCTCAGAAAGTGATCATGCTCTCCAACATGTTGAGTGCCCAAACTCTGCCCTCACCAAATTCAGGCCTCCGCAAGTGTTAGTGACTATTGCGGGGAAGCTCCAGTTCGCAAGCCGTGTTTCAAGCAAAGCCCATCCAACACTTCGCACCTCGAGGCTACGAAAGCTAGGGCTGAACTCGAATAAGTCGGCAGCCTGAAACGGGAAAAACTAAAGCCTCAAGAGCGGAACCTGCATGGTGGCCCGCAAAAAGGTGGCACGTCTAAGCCCAAGTCGGCTTGTCCAGGGCGCAAGACCATTCCGGCTCGCTGGCCCCTTCAAAGGCGCCGAAGTTGTCAGCGACCTGCGGCAGAGTCTGCGGTCTGAGCACACCTGCACTGACGGATCTACGAGAAAGCCCCGCAAACGTTGCCCGCACCCCCTGCCGGCAGCTGGTGGCCCCTGAATGCAGCCAGGCGACTTGCGATGCAAAAGGCAGAAAGCAAGAAGCCAACGACAGGGTCAGGAAAACCAACACCCCCGCAAAGACGGTTCGGTGCGCCCTCAAGGGAGCAGCAGGCGGAAACCCAGTGTCCGACGACACCAGGGCGAAGATGGTGAGCAGCACAAAGAGCAAGAGGAGTGAACAGGAAGGAAGAAGGAAGAAAACCAAAACTCAGGGGCCAGCGCCGTTCAGTTTTTGGGCTCCAACGTCAGCGGCGAAGGGCGTCTCACTGAAAAGGAACAACCCCATTCCTTCATGCTCGCTGAGAACCCAATGCAGGCTGCACATACAGCGGATCCGAACACTCATGCATTCGGGGGGGCCCACGCGAGCAGGGTTGCACATGTTGCCCACACCCACAGCTAGGGGGAGCGAGATTCTCATCGGGAAACATCGAGCGCCCCCGAGGGCCGCCCTCAGCCAACATCAAGCATGGCCCGGGGAAGGCAGGCAGACACTGACGAGAGGGAGTCTTTGCTCACTGCAAGTACACAAAAACTGGCCAGCCCCAGACTTCAAAAACTAGTGCTAAACAATTACTCTTGTTTCCCTTGAAAAAGACCAGCCAACCCAAGGCACAGTCTTGAGACCCAAGACGTGCGCTAGACTGTAGACTGTAGGGCACGATCGGACTTCGACGTTGTGGCTTTTGCGCACGAACCTTCACGATGAACTTTCATTGGGCACCCCTTTGGCAGACATTCACGGCCCGCCTCTGGCAGCTTCGGCTCGGACACAGCCGGCGCAGCTGCTTCCGGCGAGCCCACCTTGCCACAGAAAGCAGACGGGCCAAGATGTTGATGAAACTTGCTGGTGCGATAAGTAGGGAATGTGTGAATGAACCCAGGGGTCCCCTTAAGGGAAACCACAAGGACTGATTTATCGGGGTCATTCCCTCATTCCCCAGAGCACCAGCAAGACAAGGCGCAGAAGGGTCAAGAGTTGAGCTAAGCCTGGTACTGCGAACAACGCCTCACGCGTCTCCGTTTGCACCCGCGAACGGAGACGTAGACCTCGCCTTTTCCACCTCCGGCTCTGTGCAGGCTGCAGGCGCAGCGGCTTCCGGAGAACTGGCAGCCTGCTAGGTTGCAATGGGGGGCCGGACGTTCAAACTGGGAAGTGGGTTGCGTCGCTTTTCGAAGTTGCGCCTCTGCTGGGAGTGCCATTTGTTTCCTTCAACGCTAAGGCTAGTTCAAAGGGAAACCAGGACGTTCGGGAGACCTTCACCGGGAGCCAGGAGCGCCTCTTCCGTCGCTTCCACGGAGGTTGCCGGCGCGGCTGCCTCTGGACCAGCCTGCAAAGCGGACTGGCCACGGGCCTAGGCGTCCTTTTGATTGGCCGAACTGGAACCAGTGGAATCCGTCTACCTTCAATCAACCGGCCTACATCAGCTCATGTTGATGCAGGGTCCATGAACCTCGATGATTCCCAGAAAAGTGCCCCCCAAACCCGAAAAATGCCCCTCTTCTTTTTTTCGGACGCCCCCCCCCCCCCGATATCTTCATCAAGCAGGGGGTGGATTCATCAACCTGGTTCCAACTCCGGTCATGGCGAACAGATCGTGACTCGCCTCTTCCACCTCCACCTTTGCGCACGCCGCAAAAGGCGCGGCTTCCGGCGAGCTGGCCGCCTCTGGGAGAGGCGCATGCGGCAACCCTCCCGAACCCCCCGCCCACGTGTTTTCGGAGGAAAGCAGGGGATGGACGGTTCAAGGAGGGAGGGGGTTTAGGATCCTGTGACCAATTGTCGCAAGCAATTGGATGCAACTGCTGCTCGTTTCAGCAGAAAACCAGCCTGAAATCGACCATTTGAAGAATACTTATCCCAGTTCTTGCACATGCCATATGCCGGGTTGCATCACAATGCCTCGGTCTCTGAATGGCCGTCATATTAAACTGCCAACACTTGCAGCATCAGCAACTGCCCGAGCCTGAACCTCGGCTGGCCCAGAATTTGCCCTCCTCATGCTGCTTGCCAAGTGTGGCAGTCGTAATTTGGTTGGTCATGATTCCCTGGCACCAAAATCGCTTGATCGTCCCCCTGAAAACCAAACATGGGGAGGGGAAGCGCGCGAGTGACCAGCCCTCCCCCAAGCCGCCCACCCCGCCCGCCTCTGCCGGTTCTGGCTCGGTCCCGGTGCTTGAGGCAAGGCCAAGCCCGGCACCCGGGGAGGTCCCAGCCTGCGATACCCTCTGTGCAACAACCCTCAGTTCTTCCATTTTGCTTAAGCCACCTGGAAAAAAAAAAAAAAAAAACGTGATGGATTCCCTGTACATCCAACACCGGAAAATAAGAATACTCTGAGGCAAAAGGAAGTCATGTCATGGCTTCTACTGCCCTCAACACAATTGAAGCGCCTTACCCTTGCCTGTGGCGCGCGCCATTGTCTCAAAATTGGGTTTCTTTTGGCTTCTCTTGAAAACCAACCAAAGGCAAAGCTCCAAAACATCCCATTGAAAGCCCACCCAGGGTTGAAGAGTACCAGAAGCTGCTTTGCGTCTGGCTCTCAATCAGTAGGTGCTTCCGGCTTCTGCCAAAGATGCCGGATGCTTCTGGGGGACCCCATGAGGTTCCCAAACGATGCCTTTCCCTCGTATCATGGAGATGAAAGATCCAATCCCAGCTTGCCTGACCGCCCTTACCAACCCTTCTGTCAGCATCCATGATTCCAGGGAGCACAAATCTAAAGCTTGCCTGGAACGAGTAAGTGATCCTTTGAATCAGCTCTAGGGGACTTCGGAACCGGCCAGAAGATGTCTCTAGCCTGTTGCTATGGGCACCTCTCAAATGAAAAAGCTTAAAGGCACTGCAGCTACTTGTCAATCAGCACCCAAACCAAGGGGTCTCCGACACCCCCACCCTCCTTCCCACGCTTCCAGCCTTTACCTCATCCGCCTGTGGACGAGCACCTAAGGCGCTAAGCTGAGCCGCATCTTCGCGTTTGCGCGGAAGACCCTTGGCACTTTTTCCGGTTCAGCACCCTTTTACCCTCCCACCAACTAACATGGAAGTGCAGACAGCCCCTTTCCAAGAGGAAAGTCGTCTTTCTACGTGGGCCTGTGCACCCTCTCTCCAACTTTCGACCCTCTGGGCATCCGGCAAAGCTCCTCCGGGAGCTCGTAGGGCTCAGGCTTGAGGCCTCGCCGGCAGGACCCGAGCCAACCGCCCAGGTTCCATGCTAGGCCGGTCGGAAATGTGTTCCATCAAACATCCAAAGGGCAGAGCACATCCCAAAAAGCCAAATGGATGCCCCGAAAGCCCAAGACCCTCGAGACTGCGGTGCTTGAGGTGGAGCGATCGCCTCTAACAGGTCTTTGCACCATGGTACATATCCTGCCACGTTCGCCAATCGGGCTGACTCTCTAGGCGTCGCAAGTTGGGAAAAGGAAAACAGTTGGATTTCGGCGACCAAGCATGCTGCCGAAACGCGTTGTTCCATTCTGGTCTGACGATTGTCCAGTCATTTGATGGTCAGCCGGGCTGGATATCAAACAGTGGGTCTGGTTGGAGGAATAGGCTTGATTAGCAGGACACAAGCCTAACGGTGGAACTACGGGTAGGGTCACTCCCCCCCCCTTCGCTCCGTGGCTTTGGATAAGAATCCACTCTGTGATCCCTAAGCTGTGCTTTCACTTTGATGGAGATTTCAACCTGCCCACTCATAAAGAGGGATGTGAGGTTGAAATGAGTGAGCAACTGATTGGCCAGACCCTTCCAAGGCACAAACATTAAATCCAAAAGGATGTTGGAGAAAGGTCGGAAGGGTGCTACCCATTGGTCTAAACATGTTTAAACCACTGGTTATGACGACGACGTCTTGTTGGTGGTGTTTAAACCACATTTTCGCCCCACCCTGCAGGTTGCAACGGAAACCCGCCCAAAATGAGGCCAGGGGTTCTGCTCGAAATGAGCGGCGCGAGCCCAGGGCCCCGCGCTGCGGAGGCGGCCGAGGTGGCTGGGCAGGTCCAGGACCAGCTGGGAATGGCAGGATAGCAAACACGGAAAGACAAGGAAACAGAACGATGCCTATGCCGACAAAAGCAAAAACAAACAAACAAACAAACAAACAAACAAACAAACAAACAAAAGCAAGCAAGCAAGAAAACGAAAGCAAAATGAATGCCAACACTTGAACAAGCACACAGGGCATCCTCGATTCAAGAGTCCCTACTTGTCCATTAGAACTTGACTTTGCTCCTCCAGGTTGGAACTCGAATGGAATCCTAGCCCTTCCATCAACGAGGGTGTACCCGGCTATTGCAGTGTGCACACTACTGTCACTACAAGTTCCTACGCTCGTTGCAGTTTCCTTACGTTTAAATAAACTAGGTTGGGGACGTACAACAAGGGGAGCGGACCTTGTTTTAGATGCTACGTACCATTGCGACTCCCTTGCATTGTGCGCTTCCCTTGAACTCCTTTGCTTGACCAACGTCAAAGGAACATCTATTCGAAACTCCGCGGCGCAGGGTGCGTTTTCGGAGGCCGTTTTGACGAACCTGCTCAGTATATTGTGTTTATATATATAATATATATACACCAATACATGCGTGTGCATTTTGTAAAAAATAAGAAACACATGACACTGGAAAAAATGTGTTGTGCTGTTTGCTGACTGGCAATGACCAGGTGTTGTCATCAGCCAAACGTGGAATGTGTCCCAACCGCCCAGAAACCTCCAGAATCCGACTTGCCTTAGCCTGCCAAGCACGACACGCCTGGAGCAAGTTGTCGCCCCATACCACACTCCTGGCGAAGCAAAGTCTTCGCGCAAATGATCACCGCTTGCGGTGTGCTCAATGAATGGTTGGCGAAATTCCCGGCAAAAAGACCGCTTCCTCGGCCAAACACCCTGAATGGTTGGTTCACTGGGTCGCGAAATCACTGCCACTGTGTCACTGGCCCGATCCTTTGAAAAGAGCAGCTTGGTTGTTCAACCCTGCCTGCTTGTTCCCGGAACATGTCCCAAGATCCAGAAGTCAACACAACTGGCCTGAGTGGGAAACCAGCTTAGCTTCAAGGACAGCACGAAAAGGTTCACACACTCAAGACCTAGCCACAAATTCCGCCAGGGGCAATTCCATTTCATCTCCTTGCCTTGGCACACAAGTTGTCAATGCGCGCCTCTCAATTGCTGGGTGCTCGGTGCATCTTTCATCCCAAAAACTTGGAGCCCTTGAAGTCTCAAGCAACTGCCTAATCTGCACCATTCCTGCCAAAGGGCCACCATTGGATCGACAGATGATGGGATCTTGGACACTGACTGGGCCAAGACACACACTTGGCCTCGGAAATCTCTCACAAAAGTTTCCACAGCACACTGCAAATCCTGGGTTCCCCAGGTTCAAATCCCAAACGAAAAGCTAAGATCTTGATGGACCCTTTGTTTTGGAAAAAGGGCACTCTTTCTCTTGGTAGTTGATTTTAGAGGGAACCCTCGAAAGCATGAAAATAAAAATGATTATTATTATCATAAAGGCTACCACTGGAGGTCTGGGGGGCTGGGATCTGTGTTTCAACCTAGCGTCTCCCGAAAACCATCTACCCGGAACGCCTGCTCGGGGCGCTCAACGCCTTCTCCACCAGTTCGTCCTTGGTGTTTCTGTGTTTGAACCGCCGGGCTGGGTGGGTTGGAGACATCCGCATTCCCTCTTACTCAGTTGTTCAGTGACCCTGGAAAAAAGGGGAACCCTTTTTGGGGAAGACCATTTTTAGTGGGGCACCAAAAAAAAAAGGAAAAAGGGTGCCAGTGAACAACTGAGCTTAAGGACACTCCCAATTGGTGGCTTTGAAGGCCGGAGTGGGGCAATCTGACAGCTCCTTGGACCCATACCAAATAGCATATGGAATCTTCAGCTGCCCTATGAGTATCCTTCAACCCCAAAAAGCATGCTTCCTAGGCATGACGCTTTCTTTTTTCTTCGGAATTCCTAGACAGCGAGGATTGATAGGCCTCTAGCGGATGAACAGGTGGTCCCACTAATCTGACCAAGGCTCCCGGGTGCAAGGCTTTCCCTACCTGCGTCGCACGCTAAGCTTTGAGTTTCGGGGTGAAGGAGGCACTAAACCAAAAGAAACCCATGTGTAAAGAGCGAACCCCCCCCCAAAGGGTCCCCAGTTCTTCCCGAAAAAAAGAACGCACCCCCGAAGTCTGCTCTGAGGCCCCGCGCGCCATACCATTTCCAGCCCTCTTTCTTCAGCCACCAGTCGCACTCGCCCTGAGACAAGGCCCTTGCAACCCTTGCAAATGCCGAAAATCCTGTTCTTCCGCCCAGAGTTGCCAGTATCCCCCAAAATGGATGCGTCTTGTTTGCGTAACCCCCCAAAAATGGTGGTTTTCGAATTTGGTTGTCCTCTAAAAGGTACCAACTCAAAGGAACCATGGTTGTGGCAAGGAAGAAAACGTGCCACGCCAGGGCGCTCTCTCTCTCTCTCTCTGTCTCTCGTTCGCCTGGGCCGTCTCTGGGATGGCCAGCCAAAAAGCGACCCACCACGGCAGCACGGCGTTCAGCCTCGCGCATTTTGCGCGATCCGCAAGTCGCGGACGGGCTCATGCGGATGAGTTTGACCCGTGATTTGGCGACTGGCCGTATTCTCCGCCAACGATTTGCACCCTCGGTTGACCCCTCAAGCTGAGTTGGCCCCACTAGAAGTGGCCGGCTTGTGGTATTCAAGAAACAGGAACACACCAGAAAGTACAGGCCAGACTGATTTTGTAACTTTTGGGCACAGGCTGACAAAGGGGCCACTAGTCTTACCTACCAGCCTCAGCAAAGGGAAGAATGAACATTCATGCCCTATGCCCTAAATCCTGAGCTGCCAACATGAGTAACATGGCTAGTAACAGGTCTCACGAGCCCCATGCAACCAAGTGAACCCACGGAAGTTTCCCTAGCCATTGACTGAGCTTTGGCCACCCCACCAAAGCTCAGCAATGGGTTCGATCCATCCTGGTTCCCGCCAAACACGGCCAATTGAAGCTGCATTCCTTACTGGGAATCGCAGCACAGCCTTCAGAGCGCAGGGAGGGCAACAGCACACCAAACCGAATAACGACTGTGGCTCAAAAAACCGGTACCAAAATGGAACCCTGCTTAGTGGAAACATGGACCAAAACCTGCGTAACCCCCCTGTTTAATTTGAGCCACACCCATTTTGACCCCTTCCCCCGCCCTGCCTCGCCGCCAGAACTACACCCGCACCAGCGGCCACGGCTAGTGCCCCCCGCGCCAGCAGCGCAGTCCTGCCTTCGTGATTCCAAGGCTGGCAGAAAAAAATGTGTGGAAAGGTCTGCTTGACCCGGGCGTGTCTTTTCTTGAGGGCACCCCATTTCGGGTGATTTTAAAGGGGAGCCAAGAGGAAGCCAACCAAAAACAAAAAACACCAGCATAGACCCCAGATAGCAATGATTGCACACCAGGACCTCCAACAGCACCCCCCGAAGAGCATCCCAAACAGCACGCGGGCGTCAGTCGAGCACCCGCGCCATCACTAGCACCCCCCAAAACAGCATCCCAAAACAGCACCTGCAGCAACACCCCAAACTGCATGCCCCCTGCACCCTGCCGTCAATCTCGCAAACATGCGCCTGCACCGTCACCCTAAGAGCACCCCAAACAGCACCCCAAACACCCAAACAGCATCCCAAAACGCCACCTGCACCAGCACCCCAAGCTGCATGCCCCCTTGCACCCTACCGTCAAGGTGCAAAAATGTGCCTGCACCGTCACCTGCATGCCCGATAGCACCCGGGCGTCAATATCGCAAATTGCGCCTGCACCGTCACCAGCACCTCAAACAGCTCCCCAAACAGCATCCCAACACACCACCAGCACCAGCACCCCAAACTGCATGCCCCCGTGCACCCTGCCGTCAAGATGCAAAAACACGCGTGCACCGTCACCCCCAAAACAGCACCTGCACCAGCACCCCCAAACTGCATGCCCCCTAGCACCCTACCGTCAATCTTGAAAAGATGCGCCCGCACTGCCATCAGCACCTCAAACAGCACCCCAATCCGCAAAAACCAGCACCCCAAACTGCACGCCCCTTAGCACCAGCCCAATCTTGCAAATCACTTCCCCCTCTTTATTAGAAGTTAGAACCGCTATAGCTTTCAGCTATCTGGGGAAAAATGGGGGGCACCCTACAAAAAAAAAATACACCAGCATAGACCCCAGATAGCACACCATGGATACGAACCATGACGCAGCATTATCATGAGGATGTAGACCATGATGACACCACAGCCACGAAACAAACGCGCAGACAACGTCCTAATGAGATCAGCAGCATAATGCTGATTTTGAGAGCAATCCGGCAGGAAAAAGCAAACCGAGGTCCTGATGAGTTCGACAGCATCATGATGATGCGGACAGCATCATGATGATGCGGGCAGCATCATGGTGATGCGAACAGCATCATGCTGATGGTAAAGACAGCATCATGTTGATACCACAGCCACGAACCATCTTGCGACAGCTTAATGAAATTCTGCATCATCCTGATGTTGACAGCATCACGGCGCCACTACACCCACACACCATAACGTGGGAACATCATGACGATACACCAGCCACGAACCGTTACACGAACAGCATCCACCAGCACCCCAAACATGCCCCCTAGCACCCGGTACAACCAAAGCAGCATCCACCCGCGCCTCAAACTGCATGCCCCTTAGCACCCGGCCGTCAAGCTCGCAAAGCAGCATCCACCAGCACCCCAAACTGCATGCCCCCTAGAACCGGCCGTCAAGCTCGCAAAACAGCATCCACCAGCACCCCAAACTGCATGCCCCCTAGCACCCGGCCAGCTCGCAAAACAGCATCCACCAGCAGCCCAAACTGCATGCCCCCCAGCACCCGGCCGTCAAGCTCGCAAAACAGCATCCACCAGCACCCCAAACTGCATGCCACTAGCACCCGGCCAGCTCGAAAAACAAAACAGCATCCACCAGCACCCCAAACTGCATGCCCCCAGCACCCAGCCGTCAAGCTCGCAAAACAGCATCCACCAGCACCCGAGCACCCCGAGCACCCGGCCGTCAAGCTCGCCGGCCAGCTCGCAAACCAGCAGCCCCCCACCCGGCCGTCAAGCTCGCAAAGCAGCATCTACCAGCACCCCAAACTGCATGCCCCGTAGCACCCGCAAAGCAGCACCCACCAGCACCCCCAACTGCATAGCACCCGGCCGTCAAGCTTGCAAAACAGCATCCACCAGCACCCCAAACTGCATTCCCCCTAACACCCGGTCGTCAAGCTTGCAAAGCAGCACCTACCAGCACCCCAAACTGCATGCCCCCTTGCACCCGGCCGTCAAGCTCGCAAAGCAGCAACTGCATGCCCCCTAGCACCCGGGCGTCAAGCTCGCAAAGCAGCACCCACCAGCACCCCAAACTGCATGCCCCCCATGCCCCCAGCACCCGGCCGTCAAGCTCGCAAAGCAGCATCCACCAGCACCCCACAGTGCATGCCCCCTAGCACCCGGCCGTCAAGCTCGCAAAGCAGCACCCACCAGCACCCCAAACTGCATGCCCCCCAGCACCCGGCCGTCAAGCTCGCAAAGCAGCACCCACCAGCACCCCAAACCGCATGCCCCCTAGCACCCGGCCGTCAAGCTCGCAAAACAGCATCCACCAGCGCCCCAAACTGCATGCCCCCTAGCACCCGGCCGTCAAGCTCGCAAAGCAGCATCCACCAGCACCTCAAACTGCATGCCCCCTAGCACCCGGCCCTCAATCTCGCAAATCACTTTCCCCTCTTTATTAGAAGTTAGAACCCCTATAGCTTTCAGCTATCTGGGGAAAGACACCCCCACATCTCCAAAAAAAAAAGGCCACAACTCCCACAGCAGCTCACAGGGCTCCATCATGCTCCATCCAAACACACATCAGAATCAAGCTGCACTGTCGAGAGTTGGTCTCCCATGGAAGGCAGCATCCCCAATTCTCGCCTTCTGGGTGCAAGGGAATGGAGAGGGGGGCCCTACTTCCCCAACCTGGAAAGATGTTGGCATGTCTGGCCTGACCAACGGGGCACTGATGCAATTTGGTTGCCGGACAAGGAGAATGATCTCGACACATGCCCGGACGCGAGCGAGTGGATGGACTTGCTCAAAGCAAAGTCGAGGGGAATGAGCTCCGGGTGTGCGGATCCAAAAGGCTGCATCGAAAAATACCGGGAGCCCAACTTTAAATGGTGAATGGTTGGTTTCCCCTTCGGTCGGAGGGAACCACTCAGCCCAACGGGCCCGTTTGTTTTATCGCGAACGCGCCTGCTCCGCGGGCCAAGTGGTACCACAAGCAAAGCCTCAAGGCGCGGTTTCTCGCAACCAGACACCTAGAAATGGCCCTCCCAAAGAGGGGGTTGCCGATGTTCACTTGACAAATTGAAAACAAGCACAACAAGCACCATAAAATGACCTTCCTCTTGAGACGATGCCGGCAACCGAGCCATGTGGGCACAAGCCAACGTAGGCTTCCAGCTTGGCCCTGACGGGAGGAGCTGCTGGCTGGAGGTTCGCCCTCCTCCTCTTTGGTTACATTTTGGGAAAAGCAGATTCCGGTTTTCGCCAGAGTTTGAAGGGAAACTGGGTTCTCCGGCAACCCCACGCGTCCAAAGGGCACGTAGTTGATCACATACCTGCGCGAGAAGCCAAAGTATGCGGCCCACAGCCCGTCTCCCTCAACCCTCAGGCCGCTCCAGCGTCCCAACCAGGGGCCCATGCTGAAAGGAGACCGATGTTGAACCGCTTGGGAGGGTCCCTAGTTTGGAGTTCCCAAGTCACTTCACCCAGAGTCCAGTTTCCAGTCTCCAGCCTTGGAAGCACCCAGAAGCAGCTCTCCAACCCCACAAAGAAAGCACAAAGGGCTTGATTCACTTAGGGGGAGGCTCCACTTAACCTTCCTTCTGCTCGCCTGAGAACCAGTCGCCATCTCCTACCCAGCTCGTTCGCGCCCGCCTGCATTGGCGCACGGGCACGTGCAGCGACAGGAGCCAGAGGTACGGCACCTCCGCGCATGATGGGATGCTGAAACAGCATTTGGGGGGGTGACTTATAAAGGTCTCTGCTGAGCCGCACCTGTCACCCCTTCAATATGCCACGCTCTGTTGCACCTGTCCTTTCCATCACACGCTCAACAAAAGTTAGGCTACAAATTGCCGCCGGACCCACCTACATCTCTACTCGCACAACCTTCTCTGCCAAGAAAAAAGCCAGAAAGGAGCCCCTTTAGCAACTTTCGCCCAGCTTGCACCACACAAATTCAACCTGCGAAAGACCCCCTGAAAGGACTTCCCAGATTTCCCTTCAAAACCGCCCTTCCAAAAAACAAAAACGCTTCGTCCTTTCCTCAAGACATCCCATTTTCTTCCAAGCCGCCACCCCACCCCCGACCAGGCCCCACCAGGCCCCACCAGGTTGCACCAGGCCCCACCAGGGCCCCTTGGCCCGGCACCAGCCACAGGTGCAGGCCCAGGCCCAGCACTCGCATCCGCCTTGCGGCTTTGCTTGGACACACGGCCTTTCGGCGATTTTTTGACAGCTGGCTTGGTTTTTTTTTTTTTTTCCTTTTGGGCAGGGGAAGATATGTTTGTTGGTTGATTGAACCGCGTGCTCAGAATCATCCAGAGGACAAAGTCGAGCCAAAGAAGCGAAGCACAAGCCGGCCAAGGAGAGCTTCTTGTGCGAGCCCACCACGCGAACTCCCGGTGGTCAACCCGACTCACTCCCCGCCCCCAACTGAAAGCCACATCGCGCCTGGAGATGTTTCGCCTCAGCACCGTGGTCGGAATTTGATGGATATTTGATGTGGCCCGTTGCTCAGGCTCAAAGATTCCCGTCACACTGGCTGGCGGATCAGTTTGCTGATGTGGCTCTGCTTGCCACTAATTGGGAAACCAGCTGGTTCGACAGAAAGGCCGTGCAAACGGCCGAATGTTGGTCAATGTCCAAAGCTGTCTGTCCAAGAGCCTGCTGCCTACCGACCAAACTGCTCTATCTAAGTCAAGATAATGAATGTGTGTTTGATGGTTTGGGTGTATCCTGCTGTTCAGGTGAACTCTCCACACATCCAAAGATCTCTGCGTCTCGTTGTTCCTCCCCTGCACCAAAGACTGCTCACAAAGACACTGACACAGAATCACTTCAGAAACTGAGCCGTCAATTTGGACCTTGCAATTCCCCATCTCCTACCCAAACCATGCTGCTCGGTTTCGCCATGTGGCTCATTTCACTCCTTGAAACAGTTCACTTGATGTTGCTCTTGTTTCCTTTTTTTTAATCGTCCCCGCAACCGTCCGGAAAGGTCCATGGAATTGACATGCTAACATTTCACAGATGAAAGGCAAGCAAGCTTGCCTACGCAAGCCGCAAATGTGACAGCGCTTTCAGTGTCCACGTGGGATAAATGCTGACCCCTCCGCGGGGCGGATGGCACCCCCCCGCTCACAAGGAACCTCCTGGTTGGGCGATGGTGGAAAACTCTCACAAGCTCATGCCGCCCTTTCAATTCTTGCCCCTTCCTCCTAGCGCTCCTAGCAGCAGCTGCCAACTGAAGTTTTGCTGGGCTTTGCCCAGCGTTTCCAACCACCTCTGACAATAGACACCCCGACCCCGGTCTCCACCTCGCCCTGCTCAAAAAGAATCACTCAGGCTCCCAGGCAAAGACAAGTCCACAACCCCGGGCAGGCCCATTACCGTCAGCCAAAGAAGTTGGGTCTGCAGCCTGCACATGCCATGCTCGGGTCGAGATCGTTCAAGCGCCAGGTATAAGCGAACACACGGCCTGGCACAAATCTGCTAGCCAGCCTCAAGCCCACCCAACAGCCTAAACATCAGCCCTTTGCCGAGAACTGAGCGGCCACCCAAAACCCCCAGTTTGATTGAGATCGAAGCCAGCCTAACATCCACCGGAACATCAGAAGCTCCGAGCAAGCCCTAGGTCTGGTGATGGTGGGGATTCGACCAACCGACCAACCGACCGACCAACCAACCAACCAACCAACCAACCGGTTCCAAGTCAAACAACATAACAACAAAAATGACACCATGTCCGCCTGGCACGCAGCACCGGCCAGATGTCCTGCGTCTCCATCTCCCCGACCAGGCCTTGAGGCAACGGCTCTCTCCCTGCCCAGTTACCTCTTGGCTTTTCAGGCCAAGAAAAGAACCAAGGGTTCAACCATGCGCAGCTCGAAATGCTTGTGAAACCCGCATGCCATTGCCCACTCGGTTATCTGAGCAGGTTTTTGGCCTGCCCACATGGAGATACGCATTCGCATGGCCCAAAGCAGGGAAGTGAAGAAATTTCCCCCCCCTACATGCTGCTTTGCCACTAAATGCAGTTTGGCCCCGGTTCCATGGGTCGTACCAAATCCAAATGGGCCCCTTGCTCCTTTGCTTCGCTCCTCTCATTTTGATCACGGCTACTGGGGGGCCCGCCGCCCAGCAAGCTGCGCCGGTCCACCTTGTTGGAGATTGGATCCTGAGTGGATCCAAAACAAGTCCGGGCGAAGAAAACGCGGAGTTGGCCAGGGCACTCATCTGGTCATATGTAAAATGTATGTGTGTATCTGGTTAGTGCTTGCAAAACGTGCTTTCTTGTGGAAGAAAAAGAGTAAGTCCCCTATCATGTTCTCCCAAATGAATGAAGAATAGGAGACCCCAGAAGGCACAGCCTGAGCAAGCACTAGTTAGCAGCTTCGACTATGGGGTGGGGTTTCGACTGGGGTGTTCAAAAGGTGCTAGAACAGCAACAGTGAGCCCTTGCCCCTGATAAGACCTCCAAGCAATGGTGATCGCAATTACTGGATTTCGCTAAGAAAAATGTATTCTCAAAGTGATTTTAGGTTCAACCGTGAAGTTGACAATCATGGAAGCTGACGATCGGGAAATTTCGGAAGACCCCTCCTTCCGAAAAGACCTCAAAAGCTGACCGCAGATTGCTTGGGGGCCTAGTGGAAGCCCTTGACAGCCACAGGGTTTGTAGATGTGAATGTTGTACACCTCCCCATGCTTTCCGAAACAGCGCACTTGTTACCCTTGCCTTGCAACAGAAAGCCTTTCGAAAAAGAACACAGTTGCTGGAAAGCTGGCGGTTGCAGAAGAACGACGCTAAGTGTCCATCAATGAATCATATCCCTCTCCCGCTGGAATAATGACCAACCCCCTGCTTTCACACCTTCTTAAACCGTTCTTTAAACTCACTCCCGTGGAGTTTCTCCAATTCCAGAAGGCCCCAAGTTCCCAGTGGTTCAGACCAATGCCACCCGCCCCAGCCGACTACCCCCCCCCTCCCCAGCCATCCCCGCCTTTGGCAGGGCCTTGCCCAGCAGGTGCAGCGCGCTTCCGGGCAGCGCCCCTCTTGCGCGCTGGATAAGCCTCCGAACCGCTGCGCAAAGGATTTGTTGTGTTTTGCCACTTTGAGGACCCCTCTAAACGGGTAACCCCAAAATGGGTAACCAGAAAAGGGTCATGCGCAAAAAATGGGAATCCACCAAGCATCAAACAAAATGCTCAAAAAAAAAAGCGGGTTTCTCAAAAACGTGGTACCCTAAAATGGAGGGTGTCTTTTTGGTTTGCCTTTAAGCACCAATTAAGAGGGGTCCACCATTTGTAGAAACTGCAAAAAATGGGTGCTTTGGTGGCTTCATGTGTTACCCCTTCCCAGATGTTTGTTCACCTCAGTGTCCACCCTCTGACCTTGTACAGGAGGGCAGTTTCTCGCAGAGTGGCGACCCAACGAAACGGGGCACAACAGCCCCTGGAAAAGGCGCCCTCCGAGTCTTTGGGCGGAATCGAAAGCCCCAGCCTTTGGTTGAGAAAATCGCCGTCTGATCCGAGTAATACCAAGGTGGGATTCGACTCCAGCCATTGGAAACTCCTTTTGTATGGCAGAAGGGCTCTGAAAATTCCCAGCTTTCCACGGGGCGAAGCCTTGCCCTTGAAGCCTTGGACTCCGATCCCTCCCATGACATTCCTACCGTTCTGTTTGTCAAACCCACGGGAGTCTTGGGAAAAAGGGGCCCGCGTCCGCCCAAACCCGTGCCTGGCAGCGGCCGCACCAGACCCGTCGCTGGCAGACACGAAGACGTGCCTCAGGCCGAAAATTCCTTTGGCTTCTTTTCTCCAACTCGAAGTGTCATCCAGTGAAGTGCTCAGGGGCGACGACAAAGTGAAGCCCCGGATTGGCCAGCCGAGCGGCGCGCGCGGGCCACCGGCGGAGCCGGGAAGCACCGCCACCTCTCCGCGAGAAAAAAAAAAAAAAAAGGATTGAAGAGAGAAGAACAAAGAGAACAGAAGAGAGAGAGAGAGAGAGAGAGAGAGAGAGAGAGAGAGAGAGAGAGAGAGAGAGAGAGAGAGAAAGGAGCGTTGCCCTACACCTTCAATTCGTGACAGGCTCTCAGAAAATCATTGTAGGTTGAGCATACCTCGCCCTTGCAAGGTCCTGGTATGAGCCACACTCAGCTCTTGCCGATGAGTCGCCTGGATTGCATGGATACCTCACGACTTGATCGCATCCGAGAAATGGGTGTGATTTTCAATTGGGGACCTTTGGTGGACGTCAGACAACTATGTGGATTTGTGTCCACCAACCGTTCTGTCAAAATTAATGGCCAAAAAAGGGAGTGGACCCCAAAAAATGGTTGGCTGCCTTTCGGGTTCAAGGTTCCACAAAACCCAACCCGCCCTTCTCAAAAAGAATGCGGTGCGTGAAGGCCCCTAAGCTGAAGGCCTTCGCTGATTTGCTGCTTTGCATAGTTTGGAGGTTGCGCAGCGGGAAGGCCAGTACTCAATAAGAGCAATCTGATCAACCCCCCAAACTCGATCCGCGTTGCATTGCGACCGAGAAACATGTCCGAAGGTGCAAGCGAAACCACATCCCAGCGACAAGTCCCTGAAATAGAAAGCGAGGTGCTCAAATGTTCGAACTCCCCCCAGTCCAAACCACCAAGTAAGGGGTGGTTTCCCATTTGCGCTCTACAAGAGCCAGGGCTTCAAGGCCAAATCCAAATCCAAACCGATCCAAACCCCCAACTAAGGCTTACCTGAGGCTGACCTCACCTTTTGAACACCCCAAATGTCTTGGACCCTTTGGGTTGGCTGAAAACAAAACTCCAACTCAGGCTGACCTGAAGGTGAGCTTCACCACGGATCCCGAAAAAAAAACACGAAAACGACCCCCACGGCCCTCTCGGCTCGCCTCCTGCGCCAGGCTCTCAGCGCTCGCGGTGGCGGTGCTCTCGGGAGGGGGCAGCAAGGCAGCCTTCAGGCCTCGAGAAATGGGCGCGTCCCTTTGGCAGGGGACCCCTCACAATGGCGGCTTTCCTCTTTGCCTCTCTTCAGATCACCAAAAGGGGATACCCTTGAAACACGTCTTCTTTTGAGGGCACCCTTGGCTTGGTTAAAGGAAAGCCTAAAGGAAACCAAGCATTGTGAGGGTACCCAATTTTGGAACGGATGCGATTCAGGCAAGTCGATTTCCGGGGGTCATTGCTTGGGCGTTGGCTTAGCGGCCCGACTCGCGAACCCTAGTTCGAGAGACACACATTGGACAATGATAACAAAGGAAATACAAAGAGCAACCCCTCAATCACTGCTCGGCAGGGGGAAAGCGGCACGCACAAATAAAGGGTACTCATTCTATGACGCTTCAGCGCAAGCTCAAAGCTTCTAAACTCATCAACACATTAGCGCCCAGCAAACACTGCAAAGAGCACTGCAGATTCACACACGCACAACCCAGGCCAGCCACCTTTGCGCCAAGCAGCACCGCCAGTCGCAAAATTTATCGAAAGAGCCATGGCGATTCTGCGCTCAACATGTGCCGCAAAAGAAGTGGTTGTTGCCCCAGAGGCGCCCGGCGCATCTCCGCCTCAAGCAGGTCCACAAACTGCCCACCCACCTGGGCAAGATCCAAGTCGTCCCGGGCTATGGTGATGGCTCCATAGGAAATCCAAATCACGGTTGGGGGGTGAATGACCATGCCATGCGCATGAAGAATAATTTGGGCATGCCCAAACGATGCAAAGGATCTCCCTGGTCAAAATCAATTGCCCCATCAATCAGTCACGTTCATGCAGCCAAGTTTGAGCTAGCAAAGGCTACATAGCATAGCCTGTGGTTGGTGTGGCCGCAATGCCTGCAAACTATTGAGCAACTGTTCTCTCCTTTTCACGTGGACTTCTGTACCTGCTCAAACGCTGCCGACCCCAACATAGAGAGGGTCCCCACCCGCATCTGGCATCTGCTAGGTGAGTTTGTTTTTGTTCATTTGGGAGACAAGGAGCAAGGTCCACGCACGGCCGGCTTCGGCCAACCACTTTGAACATGTTTCCGCCACTGCTCAGCAGGTGGATCCCTTGCAAGGGGATCGGGTTCAAGCAAGTTTGGCTGAACCACTGCAACTACCGTCTCTATTTGGTTCGTTTAGGTGACCAGCTGGCTGCTTCCTAATCCCAGGCCTTCACCAGCATATCGCTCCGTCCCCGGAACTCCAGGCAGGTGGGGTCGCTCCCCACCAGCGTCACCTGGTGAGGCTGTGAAACAGCAGCCAAATGGGCTGCTTGAATTCCCGGTCCGGTGCTGTGGGCTAATGTCTCTAGAACGCGTGTGCATGTGTGTGTGTGTGTATGCGTTTGTGTGTGTGGCTCGGGCTCATGTGTCTTCTCTTTGTTGTGTAGGTACATTCTCTCTACACCTAGGAGTGCACAGCCCGGAGCTGTGTCATGGACCGCGCTAGTCCACTCAATCATTGCAAGAGCTCTTTGAACCCCCCACCCCCCCCCTGGCAGGCCTTGTTCAGACATATTCCAAGCATTATTTAGGGGGGGTTCTCAAACAAGCGCCCCCCCAGAAAATGGGTTGGCGTCCTTTTCGAAGCCCAGCATGTTGAGCACCCCCCCCCCCTTTGAGCGTTTTCCTTCAGGCCCGTCCAGGGAGGAATCCGTCGAACTCCCAAGGTGTCAAAGGCCTCAGGCCTGTTGGAGCGGGCCGCACGATGCCTCCATTTGGTGAGGTGGAAAAGAGAAAACCAGGCCTCTTCTTGCCAGGAGACAAAAAGCGGGAGACTCCAAGTCCCCTTGCTAGGGCGACCCCTCTTCTGCTCCAGTCCCCCCCCAAAACCCCCGCACCGGGTTCTTTGGCGGCCCTGAGACCCGCGCCAGGTCCGAGGTCTTGAAGTAGGGCGCCTGCCACGGCGCGAGATCGCTGGCCGGCGAACCCGGCTTTCATCCCGGGAACTTGTTGAACTCTGGGCATGCGATGAGTTGCTTCCCTGCTCCGGGGATCCCTGGTACGCCGGCATGGCAGGGCTGCACCCCGCATCCCCGAGGAGGTTCGACGGAAACCGCAGCCCCGAGGCCCCCGGCGCCGTCCCCCGCATCAATGAAGGAGCTGCCCTCGAGGCCTCGGTACCTCACACCCGGCCGGCGTCGGGACCCGGCTCGTCTGTCGGGTCTCCGCAGGTCGGACCCGCTGAAAGCAAACCAGACCCCCCCCCCCCAAAGTCAGCTGCGTGCTATTCGCACGGGCTCAGGCGGCCGTGCCTCTGGATAAACCACCCACCAAGGAAATGGAACCATCGGCTCGTTGAAGGCCACAGCGGCCGTGGCACCTTCGTGCCAAGAATCCCCCCGCAACCTGCTCAGGCCAAGTGAAAAATCCCCTCCTTCACACAACATGGGACACCCCATTCATCAACGTCCGCCGGAAAAATTAAAAAAAATGAGATATTCATACCCCACCCTTTCACCCAGACCTTCTCCCGTTTGCTGGGTCCATCTCCAAGCCTACACAGGAAACCTCCAGGCCCCGCACCCCGTGGTGACCATGGGGCCCCGCAGGCACAACTCCCCCGTGGCGCCCACGTGGCGTTGCACCTCACCCGAAAGCAGGCGGCGATTTAATGACAGCCAGGGACCAGGTTTATCCTTACCACCACATCACGGTATCATCTAGCCTCCCACTACCAGGTCCCTTTTTAAGCGACAGTTGGTGGTACCGAGTCAGGTCTCTGACAGTTTGTGGATGTGTGTGTGTGTGTGTGTAGAAGTGTCGGCGGTCTTCTCCAAACAAGTGCCCCCCAAACGCCTTCCAGCGAACGTCCCAGTCCAAGGCCCCCAGAAACACAACTGTGGCGTTCGCCGAAGCTTTTGCCGCAAAGCTGCTGGTGAGCTACGATGAAAACCCAGCTCGATTAAGGGAGAGTCCCAACCATCGCTTCCCCTTGATCGCTTTGCTTTGCCCTTCCTGATCCAAGAACCTTCCAACATACCTTGACAAAATCGTGTTTGTCTTTCCATTGGTTTGGGCGCCGACCCTTTTAGTAACTAATTAATCTGCAGCACCCTGGTCAGGGGAAGCCACTTCAAGCAGATGATTTCTCCTCGGGGAGCACTGCCCCTGACTTTTCTAATGCCCGTGTTTGCACTGATCACGGCATTGCCCTCATGCTTAGCCTCTGAAGCTGTCGAGAACCCGCAAAAGACTTCCTGTGGGACATGGATGTTTGCCTTTGCTTCCACAAGCGAAATCTGCGAACAGAGGCCCCGGGAATCGGAGAGTAGCCTCAGGTGGCAAGCTCGCCATTCTCCCCATGACCCTGGGCCTGGCCATCCGTTGCCACGGCCACCTGTCAACTTGGGCTTGCATTGTCCGGCTCTCTGACCCACGTGCTTGAGTGGCTCCGTGTTTCTGCCCGCCTCAGCGCCAGGGACGGCCTTGTAGATGCTGCGACCCTCACTGCTGCGGCCAGCGCTGTAGAGGCTGAGCCAGTACTCGGTGCCTGGGGATTTGGGTGCGCTTCCGTGGATCTCACCAGGCCAAGTTTCAACAAGGCAAGTCCTCTTGGGAGGATAAGCTTCCGGGTGATCGGAGGGATATCCAAGGGTTTAGAGGGAAACTGGTGAGTACTGACCAAAGGCAGAACAAATGTCAAGCTTCCTTTGTGCTGGGCCAAGGTCCGGCCTGTTCCGCCATGAGATTGGGTGTATCACCACCATAGTCTCTGGCTGTACGGGTGAATGATAATTTGCCAACCCTGAAACAAAGGACTCCCAGGTAGGTCGCAAGCTCCTTTTGGGAGGTGGCTGCAATGTGCTCAGACACGCAAAGGCCGATTAACCATCGCATCCCCCCCCCCCCCCCGCCGTTGGCGAACTGCTGCTTTTTTTGGGGGTGCTGGCCGCCACTTAATGCTGGCCGCCATTCTTAAGCCTGCCCAACCCAACGCGCCCCCGCCCATCCAGGGTTGGCCCGACACCTTGTCTAAACATGTGCCTGTAGGTCAAAAATGGGTAACCCTGGTAAATGGAACCCATGACTAAAACAGGCGGTCCCCTGGTGGTTTAAATTTTAAGGGGTACTAGGGCCTAGGGCATGCTTGTCCAAACCAAGTTTGCCCAACCCTGCACCCACCTCCGTGGGCAAAACTATTTTAACAGCCAGGCTCTGGTCGCCTGGCTCACCCGAAGGAGGCTGGATGGTTCAATCATAGGTGTGTGTGTGTGTGTGCCTTACGTTTCTTCAGGCTACCTTTTTACAATCTGAAGCCAAACCAACAGTAAAACCACTTGGCCAACTTTGGTCCAACTCCGGTTTTTGTTCGCCTGGCTTAAAGGAAACCAAAGGGGAAAACCGCCACGGGGCTCCAAACCCCCCCCCCCCACACCGACTTCGCCGCGCCAAACGCCGGGCCGCTGATCAGCAGCTCCACCACCCGGCGCCGCTCCGCCCAGCGGCTGCCCAAAGCGGGCGGCAGCGTCTCGCCCCAGGTGAAGATCCACCGCACCGTCTCCGAAAATCGCGCGAAATGCGCGCCAAATTCGGAAAGTCGGGAAGAACCCCCAAAATCAAGGATATAGTGCTTTTGGTTTTCCTTGAGAATTTCAGGAAAAAGAGGTTTGGAGCTGTGGAGGTTAGATGCCACTTATATTTGTGGGGCATATAATTGTATATCCGCAAACTAGCAAGACACCACCAAACAAAGGGGAACCACTACCATCAGTAAATGAGATCAATTGTCTTCCACAAGGGGTCGTGCACTTCCACGATTGTTGGTCAGAAGGTCCAGCTGAAGCTTGGAACAAAAACTGTCCAGCTGTTCGCGGCTGCGCCCCTGATGAAATCCTAAAACCTCATCAAACCTTGCATCAACAGGCACACCAAACTCACTCAAATCGATTCATCTCCAATTTTTGCGCCGACTCAGCCAAAAACCACGCTGGACTCCACGCAAGCGGCTTGGCTTCCCTTGCCTTCCCAGCCAACCTCCCCCGCCGCCCGCCGCCCGCCCGCCCGGCCGCACCTTGGCCTCCGCCGGCTGCAGGGACTCCAAGGAGGAGGGCACCACACCCAGCACCGTCGGCTGCAGCTCCCGGAGCGCGTCCTCCCCGCGCCAGGGGTGGGGAAAACAGACTTGAGGGGTTTCGCGTCCGATCCCGAAGAGCCATGGGTTTTGCCTCAAAACTGAACAGAAGGGGTTTCGCGGGATTTGGTCCTTGTGCCATTGTGGGTGCCAGCTTTGAGCCGCCAAATACCCCAAAGACCCGTCTCGTTTGCAGGCTTGGCCTCATTGAATGGCCTCAGTTGCTGGCCTCAACCACCTAAAACACCCACCCACCCCGCACCCCACCCCGCCCACCCGCCCACCCACACACCCCGCCACCCCCCCACCCACCCCGCAGCGCCTGGTCTAACGTCTCAGCGATGCAAATCGTGGCCCCCACGGACACCGCGACGTCGATCTGCCCCAAGGCGCTGGCGGCCCAGAGCACCGGCGTGTGCTGGAGCACCCGGTCCTGCGGGTTCGACAGCTGGGGGTGCGCTGTGCGCTTTTCAGAGTCTGCCTTTTTTGTGTGTGTGTGTTTGTGTTTTTGTTGTTCTCAAAAAAAAGAAAAGTATATGTCTTGTGGCATGCGAAAGAATTTTAGAATTATGTATTCTTCTGGAGGAGGGTACACAGAAAATAGAGTGGTCAGATTCTGGATCGTATTGAGTACCTTCAAAAAGAATGGAAGAGACCCCAAATGGGAGTATGACTTGGCTCACTCCTTACTTTGGGACTGACTTTGTTAGCTTTTGAGGGGATTGACTCTTTTGGATAGCTCTTGTCTTTTGACTTCAAAGCAAGAGCTGTTTTTGATTCTTGAGAGGTTGACTGGACTAGTTTTTGAGAACTTTGACAAAAGTGATGTCCTGTGAAAGGGAAATTGGTAAAATGGTTTTGACTCCAAATAAGGAAACCCTCAAAGTCGGCTTTGGCTTCAATCCCCAAGAAAAGGGTGCCCCTCACAAAACATGCACGCACGGTCGAGGGCACGAATATTTGGGGTTGTGTTCTGTCTTGAATTCCTTCAATGAAAACTACAGGGAAACATACCCTTTCTCTTGGGCCTACGTATGGCTGTGGCTCCAAAAAAATGTACTCAGAATTGCACCTGTCCGTGGTAAATGGACACAAAGACTATAAGCTGCGTAACCCGAGCTATAACGTGCGTAACTCTAGGTCTTATTGTTTGAGCCACACCCATATCGCTGGTCCATCGACAGAATACATTTCTGTGGCATTCTCCACTGAGGTTTGGCTGGCTCGGAGTAACCACTCCTGCCCGGGGTATGTGAAGGGAAGTGAGCCCATGAACATGGTTTTCTTGGAGAGCCAAGGTAACCGTGCATAGAATATCCGGGTTCCATCCGATGCATCTGAAGCAGCCTTCAAGCTTGTTGGCGCTGTGCAGGTGGCGTTACGCGAAACCAGTTTCAGCCCCGTGCCTGATTGGCACAGGTCAACTTGGGAGACTGCAACACACGCACCTCTTAAAAGATAATAAAGTTGGAACCTGCCGAGTTCAACTCGCGCACGCGCTTCAGCCACTCTAGCCCGTTCCCACTCTTTCACCTTTTCCCCTTTCCATGCCTTTCCAACCCTTTTACAACACCTTTTCCAACCCTTTCCCACTCCATCCCTGTCCAGAATGCACAGCAAACGTTGAACCAGACTGGGGAACAAGATCAGGTGTTCCAGCACGCCCAACTACCAACTTAAAAAAAAAAAAAGCACCCCGCGAGGTCTCCCCCAGGCTTTTTTCCCAGTTCTATCCCTTTCCCATCCTCTTCCAATGCACTCCCCCGCCAACCCCGCCTCGTGGCTCAGCTCCGGGAAGGCCTTGGGATACGCCGCCAGCTCGTGCAGCGCCATCGCATGGGTCACCTCGTCCCAGGCGATGTGCGTTGGTTTCACCAAAGGCTCCAAGGGACGATCCCTTTTCCCGTGCCAAAGAACCGTCGTGCTTTTCAAAAACCAGCTGGTCCCATTGTGATGAGACCTAGGGATTGATGTCCCATTCCTTTCAACCATCGTTCTTTTCAAAAGCCAGCTGATTCCCCTGAGGTTCTGATGGTTGTCTGGAAATGGGGAAGTGTCCCCTAGAAAGGTCCCTTAAAACATGGTAGGCGTTTGGGACTTGGATGCATTTCAGGGGATACCACCAGGAAACCAAGCGCCTGAAGGGCCCTCTACTTTTGAGAAAAAGCCACTGGCGCGGCGCTGACCATTCTTGAGAGGTCCCTGGAACTCCAGGCAATTGACGCCCTGTGGCTCTCAAAGAGCTTGGCTCTCGGTCCGCCAACACGCTGACTTCCGCTTGCCATGATTCGACCTGATGCTTGATAGTTGATGGGCAACTTGCGCGAGTTGGTGGCTGCCTTTGGAAACCTTGCATGATTGAATGAACGATTGATCCAAGGAATGACGTGTTTTCACCAAATGGGCAATGTTCACAAAAAGCGAGACAAAGAGACACTCAAGACAGGATGAGTTCAAGCAGAATGAGTCCAGAGGACATTCCTCTTTCCCTCCAAACCCTCCCCCGAACTCCCCCATCCCCCATTTCCCGGCGCCTCCACCACCTTGGAGCCCCCAGTGGTGCCCCCCGTCAGCTGAAAGCACATCAAAGCGCCTCTTTCCGCGCGACGCGGCGGCACTAAAGGCGCCGGACGCAGCGGCGGCGCCGGTGCCGAGGCGAGGCACTCCCCGATGCGCAGCAGCCGCGGGGGCTGCGGGAGCGCCTCGAAGTCGGGGAGCGCCTGGAAGCGGGGAAGGGGGGCTGAGGGGGTCCGAATGTTGCAGTCGAGAAGAAGAAGTGTCCGGGAGGTCCTTGCGTCGGAGTTGCGATGGATTGACAGCCTTCACCGGAAGAACATTGTCCCAGCTCCCTTCGCTTTAAAGTGACGCCAAAAGGAAGCGAAAGAACAGACTGATGAGACCAGTTTCGGGAAAACAAATGCTTACCGCTCAAAAAGCTGTTGAACCTCCGCCAAAGATCCTTCCAAGGACTCACTCTTCCCGCGCCCACTGACCTCCCAGCCCCGGCCCCAAGGTGAGGCACCTCCGGGGGTAGGTTGTCCCCTAGCAGGACTAGCCCAGGCCGCAGCACCTCGAGGATCTCCTGCGATCCAAGAGAGAATGGGCAAGCCTCCCTCCCCTCGGGAAAAAACACACAAGCCTTTGGACAACTCCTCATCCCCCCTCCCCCGAAACAAAACGCCAACCTCCCCCCCCTCCCTCACCCAAAAAAAAAGAAGAAAAGACTCGTCCCCCCCCCCCTCCCCCCCAAAAAAGAAGGCCAGCTCACCACATCCCCCCGCGCGCGGTTTAAACCGCCCACCCCGGCCTCGTTCCGGCGCAGCTCCGCGGGGCGCTTGGCCTTCGGCAGCTCCGCGCCCATCCAGGCGAAGGGCCGCCCGAGCCGCAGCAGCGCCAGCGTGGCCGCCAGCCACGGGGGCGACCGCTTCGCCAGGAGGCCCACCGTCTGGGGACTGGGATTTTGGGGGAGGGAGGGAAGGGGAGGGAGGGGAGGGGAGGGGAGGGAGGGAAGGAAGGAAGGAAAGAGGGCTAGAGGGGAATGTTCGGGACAAAGTGTGTGGAAGGAGACAGAAGTGGCTGGAACAAGCTGAGAGGAGGGCAAAGAGCTGCCCAACGAAAACAAGGGACCCCCAACGAAAACAAGGGACACCCACATGTTCGTCCATCGCACCAGCTTTTGCGGCAAGGACTGCCAACGGAAACAGGGCTTTTCGCAACCCAACAGCCGCGTTTGAGTGTTACACAAGGTAGGGAAAATAAAGGCAAGTCCAAACTACATGCCGCGGGTGCTACGACCCCCATCTGCCTCCTTCTCCTTCAAAATGTCTCATATGTACATCCCAGAAAAACCCGCCCTTCACCCCCGCTCCTCCCCAGCCTCGCCCCCCCCCCCCGGCCTCAGACGTCTCCGCCGCCGCCCCGATGGCCGCGGCGAGCCTCTCGGAGGCCGCCCGCAGCTCCGCCCAGGTGAGGCAGCTCCGCGCGTCCCGCACCGCCGGGCGCTCGGGCATGACCTCGCAGCGCGGATGGCGGAGAACCCGGGCACAGGTCAAGAGAGCGGTTTTTGTTGAGGTGCCACAACACCCAAAAAAAAAGCTGCTGCGACGGAACTGCTTCTTCGATCAGAAAGGGCTTGAACCACCCACCCCATCAAAGAAAGGCTCGATATACAAAAAGCTGGTACAAACGGTTATCAAAACAGAGAACCGCTTTGCATGGCTTTTGACGCAAAGATACAGGAGTTTCCGTTTCATTGAGCGCAAAGGCTTCAGCTCTTGCCTTCATCGAAAGACCTCCACAAGGCCTCGCAAAGAAGACTTCTCCTCGGTCACCCGTCCGCTTTCAGCCCCACTACCCTGTGCTTCTCCATCCCCATACCCCAGCCCCAGCCCCCCCCAGTCCCCCGCCCCCCACCTGCGCCCAGTGGTCAAACGCATCGGCGAAGCTCGACATGGCATCCATGGCCCGCTTGGGGCCGGATGATCAGAGGCCTGTGGAAAGGGTTCTTATCCCCTTAAGCCTCAAGAGGGAGAGTCAGGCATTGGCAACCGAAAGATCAAGGTGCATCCCAAAAGGTACCTGTTGCTCCGTGCACGAGTGAGATCGGGTCAAAACGCGTCATGACTGGATCCGCCGGAACGATCTCAGAAAAAAATAAGCGAGCGGGACCTGGAGAGGCATGGCTGATCCCGTCGAAGCGGCTTGAAGTTGGGTTGGGTTCTTCTCGTAGGTGTAAATCACCTTGAGAACATAGACGCCAAGATCGGACTGACGAACTCTGCCATTTGGAGGACCTCTATCACTTTTCCTTCGCTCCAAACAAAGCGGCTCCAAGAAGACACCTCTTCCAGTGGCACTTCAAGGTACCTAAAGGGTTCCCTGCAAAGGGAAACACAGTTCCACAAGACTATCCCCCACCTCTTTCGCCAAGAGAGTATGGATGAAACCTTCGCAACACCTGGGAGCAGTTCTCCACGTGTTGAAATCCCTGCGACTCCACTCGCTTTGTCATTTGCTCCACGGACCTCCCCCCGCCTCCTTCCCCAACCTCTCTGCCTATCTCTCTCACCGCCTCTTGGCCCCATGCCTCCTGTTCCGCAGAGAGATGCGCCAGCAGCAGCGGCTGCTGCAGCAACTGGGCCAATATTGGCCGGAGAGGTTCATCGATCATTGCGGTGGCTTCAACCATGAGGCAATTTGGGTGGGCCCCTTGAAGTCCTCCCCAGAACAAACACTAGACTTGCTAAACTATCAATCACGTGTCAGTGACTCGCGCTTTCGCTTGATGCTTCTCCAGCGAGTTGATCTGCACACAATGTCAGTCCATGTACCAATCTGTCAGGAACATAGGTGAGAATTGAATGCGTCGAGCCTACGTCCAGACAAAGAAAACACACTTGAAGTGCCTGTACATGACCAGTTCTGCAAAGATCGCTGCCAGCATTGCAGCTCAAAAGGGTGTTTGTTAGAGCGCAAGACAGCTGCTTGGATCAGGGGAAGCTGGCTTCCTGCATCCAGAAGTTCTTCGACGTGATGCTTGCACCCGAGCAAGATCCCGCAGCACAATTGAAAGTGACCGTGTCACAATGCATCCCGTGCTCGTTCTGGTACTTCGCGCAGTAGACAACAGCCAAGTAGTGGTTGGGAATGTTGCTGCCATCATTCCGTCCACCCCAGGGCTCGTTGTCGCAGTAGCACTTCTTTCCCACTTCCCCCGTCCAAGGGACTGTGCTGGTATCTCCATTCGTCCAACTGCAAACCCACGGAAAGAGCACTCCTGTGAACCAGGCGACTGGCTTTCCAGCATCCCGGAAGGTGTGCAGGGTCCCGTCCTTTCCAGGGCAATCTTCGCAATTACGGAGCCATGCCATCGCAGTCTCCTTGACCGAGGGGGCCCCCTGAGCATCGACTCCAATATTGCCCCATGCCCTCCACAGAGAGGCGTCCCAGGCATTGTCGTAGCCTCTCCACCACCCACACTGGTACTGCCCAAAGGTCTGTCCGATGCCGGGGTGGTCGAAGTAGCACCAGTTGTCCTGAGCGGGATACTCTTCCTGCTTGCATGTGTGATGCTGTGTATTCCCAAGGTCCTCAATATGCTCAAAGTAGTGCACATCACCTCCACAATCTGTGGCTTGCGCACCTGCAAGATCGTGGCCGTGCACTACCCAAATGTCTGATGCGCCTGGAGATTGGTAGGCCTGGTACGAATCCTCGTTGTATGGGACGAACACATAGCTGACGAAAGGAGAAGAGTCTTGCCAAAAGGGCTCCTCTTGGGCGACCTTAGTATCTGGGAAGAAGGGGTAGGGGGTGCATGAGCCACCCTTTCCACGGCAGTCATCTTCCTTCTGCGGACCGGTGGAACATTGAAATGGCACGCCTGCAAGCCGCCGTGCGCCTTCATTGGATAGGAGCCCTGCTAACTTGCTCTGCAAAGCACTTGTGGCATTGCCGCGAAGGTTGGACTGCGCATGGCATTGCAAGGAGACGAGGCTCAGGACGAAGACCTTGCTACAGACCATGGCCAAGGCAAGTGCAGCGAAGCCAAAGTCAAGACCCAACCTCGTAGGATGCTTGAGGCAAAATGGCTGAGATCCGCCACGCGAATCCGCCGCGCGAACCACATCAAGTCAAACCTCAGGCGCTCGTGGCCCGTCGCACCTTGGTTGCAGTCTGCTGGAGGCTGGTATCCTGGTCCACCTGGGCAGCCTGGCGCCGGGAATACCAAATGAAAAATGCCGCAACAATATGAGACCAAGAGTTTTTCAAAACGTTGCAACGGTGCAAAGAACAAGAGAGGGTTAAAGCAGCCACTCTGTTTGGCGCAATGTTCTCTCGTGTTTGTCATTGACTAAAACACAATTGCATGACACCTGAGCAGTGCATGGAAAAGTGCAAGCAGCACTTGGTGGAGGCTTGCTGTATGGCAGCTAGAACCCCACCACCAACGCGGAAAAACGAGGCCCTCCACCTCAATACTATCCAACTGAACGCCCAATGCAAAAATGTATCGCAGCCAGGAACCCTGACTCCAAGTTGAGGTTTCGCGGAGATGGGGACCCGATTCTAAAAAGGATGCGCAAAAAAGCAGAAGAAGCACGCCATGGGAAACCCGGCCGCCTCCCTCCCATTGCCCCCCAGGCTCCTGCAAAGAGGAGACGGCCTCAGGCTGCACAAGAACCCCCCCTTCCCGTGCCAGCAAGCCAGAAGTGTCGGCATTGCCACCAGTGTCCAAATCCAGCAAATTCCAACCCCCAGAAATCCAACAGACCAGGCGCCTGTTGAGAGGGCCACGCTTTCGTGCCATCTTGGTTAGGTGCCAGCAACCGCGGCTCTGGGCATCGGGCGGTGCCCAAAGCCTCAACAGTGGCCTTCATGTCCTCGCGATGGGACACCGGAAACACCCTGGAGTTTGAGCCATGTGGAACCCCCCTCAAAACAGCTGGCCATGGGTCAACATCCCGTACCGCCAGTGAACATCCCAATCCCCACTAAAATAGACTAAAATGGGTGGTGCACCTACCCCGAAATGGGATACCATTGGTTTTGACCCACAGCCAGCTGTCTTTCTTGTTGACGTGCATCTACCTGCTGGTGCGTTGAAAGTGTACCTTTGAGAGTCCAAGTTAAACATTTTTGTCCAGGCTGTCGGGGATCAGCAACTTGCAAGGAAGTCTTCTTGTGAAGCAAACAGTAGCCTAGCCGTTTAGTTTTGCAGTGACACTAGGGGACGATCCTTAAATGTCTCACAAAAGCTCGGGGCTTAATTTCTCTTTAAGCACGCGTATATTCCGAACGTGGTTCATATGAATACTGCATGAGGGGTTCGGTGGGCCTGTACGCGGCTTTGATGAAAAACATGGCTTGTGGGCAGGGCCCCTGATGTACAGAAGTCCCCCCCCCCCCCAACATCGCCGGCTTCTCCCTCGGTTTTCCCCCAAAAGGGTGCAGAGAGCCTCAAAGAATCAGAGCCGCACCCACCCACCCCCTCCCTCCACCCCCTTTTCCTGGACAGCCTTCGTGTGGCCCGCCACGTGCTTCTCCCGCTCTGCCGCCGCATCAGCCGCGGAGGCCTCTGCGCGCCCCGATCCAGGGGGGTCTAACCTACCCCCCCCCCCCCACCCCACCTTCCCACCCACCCCAGCCCCACCCCCCGTTTCAGGTTTTAAGGTTGGCGTAAAGGAAAAACCACGGCGAATCAAGCAAGTGGATTCGGGGAGTTGCAGCGTTTCCCTAGCCTCGTCCACCAATTCCAACCCTCTCCCGCCGAAACTCCAGGCCTCCAGTTCCGAGATCTCCTTGGCAAGGCCCTGGCACACCGGTCCCAATGGGACTGGTTAGGTCCCCAGGTCTCTTTGTCAGCCCTTCTGAGGTATGAAACCAAAGGAAGTCGCCCCAAAATGGGGGTTGTTTCTATATTTTGCACATGCACCACATATGTGTACCCGCCTAAAATGCATATAAAACGCCCGCAAGACGAACTTCACGATGCATCCGTACGAGCCGTGCAACACAACTGAGAAGTGCATCCGCAAAACATGCTTTCAAAGGTGCAACTTCAGCCCATCTCCAAATTCGGTGGGATCCATCTGCTTCTGCCGGCTGCCCTCATAAACGTGGCACTCGTTTCGCTCCCTACAGGTGTCGTGGCTGGACAAATCCATTTTGGACCAAGATGGATGAAACTACAAAACCCCACGAAACCACGCGAGAATACCCATGCCCTAAGGTTCGCAGATGGAAAACCCGCCTCGATGGACTCCGTCAGAGTCTTCTTCTCCATGGTCTTTGCATCGATCTGCAGAAAATTGCTTGAAACACCCTGACTCGAACCGTTTAAAGGGAAACCCACAGGAGAAAGTCTCAAACAAAAATGCGGCTTCAACATGTTGGCGCCAACCCCGAGGTTCGCCCACCCCCAACACTGTTTAGGGTTTATGCTGCCCCACAACCACTGTTTCCCCAAACATTTTATGTTGGCCCCCAGACACCTTCTAGGGTGTTGTTTCCCCCCCCTCCCGCTTTTTAGCTTTTTAGGGCTTATGTTGCCGCCACCGACACCCTTCAGGCACCTTTAGGGTTTTTGTTGGCCCCACCAAGACCTTCTAGTGTTTGTGCTGGGCCCACCAACACTGTTTTGGGTTTCTGCATGCCCCATTCAGGGCTTATGCTAACCCCACCAACAAGGTTGATGGTTTATGTTGGCCTCCAAACACCTTTTAGGGTGCGGGAGCGGCCGGGGACATTTGGGAAGCGGGCAAACCTGAGGGTCCTGGCGAACATGTTTTCACAGCTGGAATCCCCCAACCGGCAAAACCGGAAAAGCCCACATACCACCAAGGGGTGCAGGGGTGCCATCTTCGATCAACCAGGTCTCGTGACATCCGCACCGGCGCGCATCCGGACTCCATGTCGCGTCGATGGCGCTCAACGCGGGGGCTGAAGGATACCAAAACAATAAACAAAGAAAGGACAGCTCCCCTTGTGGATCAGCAATGCTACAAGGCAACGAGCAAGCCCATTCAGGGCTTCAATCCAAAGGGTTGCACCGTGGCACCTCTGGAGGCCCCTCTGGAGAAAGGCCCGAATTGCCATAAGCCAAAGTGGAAACTGGTCCAGTCACCCCCAAATATCACCAGAACAATGTGTGCCACTCCCACCCTCGCCAGCCCCTTGCTCCTGCCTCGTCTGTGGTCTTCTCCACGAGGCTCTTCTCTCCTTCTATGGCCTCGAATCTTGGTGCGAGAAGTAGGAAAGAACTGGAATGAACCCAGAGTTCCACCTAAAGGAAACCACCATTTGGATGGTTGAGTGTCATTCCAGGGAATGGATTGCCTATCGCACCAGCAAGAAATCTGCGCAACTCGGAAAAAAAACGCCCGCCTTGTTGAGAGACTTGCTGGATGTCTCGCACCACGCCACATACTTGGTGTACCTGTTTTCTGCAAGGACGAAACCCAAGCGCACCATTCGGAGAATCTTGGGTGGTAAGTGGGTTCTAACACATGGGTTCTAGGCTGCTACACACATGATTGCCATTTATTAGAACCCGGTTGGTGAAAATCAAGAGCACGTGAGCTCCTCCTGCCGTCCCTCTTGGACCGACTTGTCGGCAAGCTCCTAACGAGCAAAGGCAAACTCTGTGTCTCGCAAGGATCAATGTTAGCGTTGTCTAAGCATGGGAAGAAAAAAACACTTCCACGTCTAGACCTTTGCCCAAACCCCGTTGCCCAAACCCCGCACCGAAACGAAAACAGTGAATCACACACGCGCACGCTCACACACACACACACACATTCACACACACACACACACACATCTCACCATCTGAGTCAAGCCCAACTCGAACAAAAACCCTCAAATCGACCTGCTCTCCTGCACAAGTCGGATCACCCGTTTGATGGGGTGCTCGGCCTGCCAGGATGCTTTTCGGAGAGCCCCAAGGAGCCATCAACCAGGACATCATTTGCGAATATTTCTCCAACCATTCGAGGCGTTGGTTCACAAAAAAATAAAATAAACTCAGGTGATATCCCCAACAGCATGCGGTGCTCTTTTCGGTGCTCTTTTTAGTGCTTGCACCACCCCGCAGCCCTCCAGAACATCGTGGAACCCTCGAATCCCTGGTGGAACCCTGGTGGAACTGGTGGAACCCTGGTGTCACCCTGGTGGAAGGTGGAACCTTGGTGGAACGCTGGTGGAACCCTGGTGGAACCCTGGTGGAACCCTGGTGGAACCCTGGTGGAACCCTGGTGGAATCCTGGTGGAACCCTGGTGGAACCCTCGTGGAACCTCACCTCAGGGCCGCCCCGGACCACCCGTGAGCCTATCTGGGCTGAGACCCCGAAGCTTTCAGCTGTTAGGGAAAAACCATACCATTCTCGTGTCCATCCCACGAGGTCCCAACCTGGGTGTCGACCCGAAGCTTTACAGCCGCACCCACGCAGGCCTCGGATGGATTGGGAAGCTTATGCCAAATGGACCTTGGACTTCAAAGACATATCGACCAAACTTCATACAGGTTTGCTTCCGAACAAGGGCCATGCAAAAAAATGGAGGCTGAGTGGCAATGGAGCCTCGTACGGAGCCAACGACCAGCATGAGTGGGGAAAGAAATGGGCACACAACCATATACGCAACCAAACTCTGGATGCTCCGGCCACTTCATGACGGGCACCATCATCTGTGGAGTTTTTGCTCACTCAAAGTCCCAGATCTGTTTGCTCGCTCGCATCTGCGCTCAGCGCGTGGCCAAGGCCCACGCCAGCCTTGCGCAGTGCAAGAAACGGACGCGAATCGACAGATCCGCGGCTTCCGCTGGGTTGGCGTGTCTAACCAACTGGGCGTCACATTCAAATCCGAACAACAAATGGTACAGAGAAGAAGAAAAAGAATGCATGCATGAATGCCCGCCTGGCGCACTTCATTTTTCTGCCTCAGTGCACACGGTTATCCTGAATCCCCACTCCGCAGCGCAAAATCCAAGAACGTTAGCTACCGTAACCTTCATGTCCGTTCAATGACATCTACTCATTGCCTTGAAACACCCCGGCAAACTCCTGCTGCCTCACCAAACCCAGACCTGCACCCACAACGCAACATGCACATGTTTCTTCCCACCCCTGGCAGAACCAGATCAGTCTCCCAAGCTGTGTCGCTGGATGGACACTTTCCAACCTGACAGCCCAGAGGGGAAATCCATGGGTCCAAAGTTGCTCCGCCAGGGATACAACTGATGGTCACCTCTTTTCTACATGAGTCTCAGAACCTCAGGGAACCACCAAGTAAGACCTAAGGGTTCCCTTGGTTTCCGAGAACCCTTACCTCAAACCCCTCAAGTGGGATCGGGCCGAGAGCCGAGCGCTCGGGCAGCACCTCCGGGAAGGGCTTCCCACTGGAGCCCCGAAACGCGCTGGACAAGTTGCCAACCGGAACTGTGGGACCTGCAAAAAGCCGAGAGAGGTGCGGATTCCCCCCAAAAAAATATATACACCAGCATAGACCCCAAATAGCAATGATTGCACACCAGACCTCCAACAGCACCCCCCGAAGAGCACCCGGCCGTCAATCGAGCACCCGCGCCATCACTAGCACCCCCCAAACAGCATCCCAAAACAGCACCTGCAGCAGCACCCCAAACTGCATGCCCCCTGCACCCTGCCGTCAATCTCGCAAACATGCGCCTGCACCGTCACCCTAAGAGCACCCCAAACAACACCCAGCCGCACCCCAAACAGCATCCCAAAACGCCACCTGCACCAGCACCCCGAGCTGCGTGCCCCCTTGCACCCTACCGTCAAAATGCAAAAATGTGCCTGCACCGTCACCTGCATGCCCGATAGAATGTTGCAAATTGCGCCTGCACCGTCACCAGCACCTCAAACAGCTCCCAAAACAACATCTCAAAACACCACCAGCACCAGCACCCCAAACTGCATGCCCCCGCGAACCTTACCGTCAAGATGCAAAAACACGCGTGCACCGTCACCCCAACAACAGCACCTGCACCAGCACCCCCAAACTGCATGCCCCCTAGCACCCTACCGTCAATCTTGAAAAGATGTGCCCGCACTGCCATCAGCACCTCAAACAGCACCCCAATCCGCAAAAACCAGCACCCCAAACTGCATGCCCCTTAGCACCAGCCCAATCTTGAAGTTAGAACCCCTATAGCTTTCAGCTATCTGGGTGTACCTTCCAGTCTCTCCACACCCAAGCTGGCATTGAATTTTAGTGCGAACGCGCAGCTCGCGCAGGCCGTCAGGCATGCAAAGACTCCCTGCAGCTGGTCTTTTCAGGAGCCCCTTCCCGGGGCCCTGGGGACACAAACAAACCAAACAACAGCCAACGGAACAACAAAGGGGGGGGCACAGAGAGAAAGCATATACAAGTGCTGTACACGCAGGCCTTTCACAAGAAAGCAAATTCATGAAAAGCATTCAATCAGTGCTAATTGACTGCAGAAGTCAGTGCTGCAAGAAAGGCTCATTTGTAGCAAAATAGAAAGGCCGCGCCCAGCGGCCAGGATATCTGCACAGCAAGAGCAGATCATGGATTGAAGATGTGTTGCAAGACTTTCGTCAAGCCATATCCAAGCACAGCAAGGCCGAATCCTGGGATAGAGATAGATTAAAGAACCAATGCAAGGCCTCAGTATCCAAGGAGACGACAGCAATAAAGCAGCATGGATGATACCCTGACCCAAAGCCAGCATGAAAAGCAGCAGAAAGGTTAAAGTCCTTAAGAGCGCCAGCGAAGGTCTTAAAGTATGGACAGTGCGGTGTCCCAACTCCACGGAGATGCGACCTCCCAAGTGCGCAGCAGGGGTGCCAGGCAGCAAAGTTGCACCGTGCCAACAAGCCCCCACGCCCCACCATAGCGCACCAAAGGCAAAAAAAAGGGGGGCAATGGTCTGCCATACGTGCAGCATAACAAGAAACAAATCGTAGGCCAAAACCAACAGAAGAGTGACCATTGTCAAATTTAAAACATCATCATCCTGCCAGAAGTACCAGAGTTTCCAAACTAGGAGAGCTGCCAAGTCACCCGGATTCTGCAACCAGGGCGAGGGAGTCCACCTGGCTGGACCACACTGGGACCTTAATCTGCACCACTCTGGGCGTGCAGAGGCAAAGCATGGTGCGTTATCAACCCTGGGGGCGTCAGCCGCCAACTCCTTGCCAATGCGGACCATTCTGCTCCGTGGCCAACTAGCCTCCAACCAAATCGCTGTTCAAATTAGACGGACACAGGATGTTCTCCGACAAGATAAGCCGCCAGAAGAAGTGTAGCTAAAGAGGCCGCACCAATGGCACGTTCACAGTCGCCACCCAGTGCTGCAGCCAGCAGTCGCGCGCCGTGCTTGCTGGTTGGTCCCGGTGACCTTTCATTCTAATTTGCAGCTTGCTTTGGCTCTAAAATCAACTGCAATCACAGCAAAGTAACAGCTCCACTGTTTAACGCGAAATGCTCAGGTCAGAGCCGTGCCACTCAGGCGCGCAAACAGTCTTCAAAATCCGACCGTTTAGAAGTTTGTCTTGCTTTCCAAGCTTCCGGAGCCGGTTTTCACCAAGAAAGCCACGCCTGCAACTTTGCTCTGCTGCTTGGCTTTCAAGGCACCCACGGACGGTGTCACCCGTGACACGTGCTTGGGGAAAAAGTCCCAGAGTTTTCCAAAGTCGGGAAAACTTCCAAACGCCGACGAAGCACAACCGGAACCGGGGCTGCTCTCAATTTAGGTGTGGAA